ATATATATACTTGACCTCGAGAGGCGTAGAATGAACATAGCTTTCGTAGTGCAATCATGTTCAAGACTGGATTTTACAAGATAGAATGCACAAGTTTTAATTTATGGAAAAATATTGTAGAACTGTAAATTGAAAGTTAAATTAGAAGAGCAGAAAAGTGAAAACAACAAATTAATTTGCAATGAAAATTACACTGAAAATTGAGACGCAATTCGAAATGAAGCATAAATGAACGACTTTTTGTGAAATGTAAAGAAACGACGATGGATGACACGAATTGTTGTTGTTTACTGTGATAGAATCATACCAAATTCAAATGTACCGTCGTCAATTCGAGCTGAACCGGTTCAAACCAAATTAATAAGATTTTAGTGGTGATCATCAGTTGTTCAATATTACTCCATTCCGTGAATCAATCACATCACATACGTGCATTAACATCATTGTGGTTATGATCATTGTTTCCATCTTACTTTTATGACTATTATCACTGATAACATTACTATGATAAGTGGAATTTATTCCGCATAACCAAGCTCAAATTACAATGGTATGATAAGTGAATCTTTTTGACAACCTGACGTGCTAATACTTAGCAAATACTGGTACAGTCACATCCGAACAGTGCTACTTATCGAACACTTCAAATTGCATAGTTTCATCGAATACTTCAAGTTGTCATACTTTACGAGATAATTTCAGTCTAGCAATTTTATTCAACGGAAGTGAAACGACATATTAAAGCAAACGCCATCATATCACTTCTCAAGTTAAACTGCGATTATGAAGTCAGCACTAAAATGCTCAAAAAACAATGTACTGAGCTGGAAAACGCAACTAAATTGATGCAGCAGTCAAACTGCATTCAGTACAAACGCAGTCATCACCACTAACCGTTTGAACATAAGAATTATAATGAAGTTTCAACGCGAAATAAACTATGCAACCTCATCAAACGACCGCAGTATGCGTCATCATTTACAAAAAGTCCTAATAAATGCGTGATCAAATCAATTAATATGAATCGATATAACAGAATTAATCAGCATTGATTGATGATGAGTTTCAGTCACTGAAAAGGATAACTTATTGCTAATTTAAGTCATATTCATGTTTCCTTAGCACGACTCACTGCACCCATGACACATGTTATCACTTACAACTGATACTGACTGTACCAGTAAACGGGTGAATATAAACATTTTAGTTTGTAAATGTGCCAGCATAAGATGGTAACCTATCAAATTCAATCAAACGATGCAACATTAAAACGACTCTTTTGTCATCAACAAATCAAAGACATCTTCACCGAAAGTCGACAAATATGCTGCGCAGTACTTACGTCAAATCAATTCCTCACTGTCCTCTTTTAGAAGGAAAACGAACGGCTTAAATGCAGAACAATATTTCAGTGCAAAATTAAGAGTTCAATTCACTTGAATACCAATCGATCTTCAAATGACACTATCTATGCGATTAGAAAGAATGTCTTCACACAGACACGACCTGTCCAAATCGATCACTATGAAGTTTTTGTTTTTCACTGTACATACACTTGGTACTTCTTCAAATTAAGTTTAACATTCTCACCTACAGAACACTAATTCAAGATCGGAAGCAGCAGCTGACAATAAGAACGATCGACTGAAAATCATAATAATTCCAGAATTTGGATATCATTGGAACGGCACTGTTGTAATTTTGAGATAATTATATTGTGACTTATGATAACAACATGAAAAGAAGTGTAGTCGCACATAGCATAATAATCAATGGATTTATTCGACTTCATTGGATAGTGAATTCAACAGAAACCATTAATTTTGAAATAAATAGACATGATAATACAAGAATGAAATCATTATCATCCAAACAAATTAATAACATAACAATATGATAAGATTACGAATAACGAAAATATTAAACACCGTATTTCCTTGGAAAATTGTTTCCTTCAATAGATCTCCTCCCGGAGTACAAAGAACTTGTGAAGAGAAAAACAACTTTTCGCATTCATATACATACAATTCGTGCATGACAATACGCAAAGAAATTGCATAAATCGGTCATTTTTCCGAGAAAAAAGTTCCAAACGATTCCCAAAAGCAACTTCAACAGAGAAAGATACGATCCCAAAAAAGGCACAGAAAAAGGTATCCAATTATTCAGCAGTCATTGCTGTGTACTTTCCGGCTCTGGGAAATCTACATTTACCTTAAAAAAAAGAAATCTAAATGTTTTCGAGGAAATACGATAAAATTATTTCGATCACTGGAACATATTCGGACTGGCTCGAGAGCCACGATATCCAACGCCCTTTTTGCCTCTAAGAGATGGAATTCGAGTGGGTCGCTCAGAACTATCGGATGCTTCGGAGCAACGGCTACCCGGTCGTGATAAATCACTGATATCACCATTATTTGATGGTTTTGACGACTGGCTCGGACGTACTGCTTTTGAGTCTTAAAATGATAATCACAATAATAATCATACGCGTATTCATGGAGGGAAGTAAAAGTGTTCAACCCCTGAAAATTTGTCATTTGTTTATGCAACAATACTTTGCTTTCAACGCTGGTCATGCAGATTTATATATTCAATCAACTAGCTTAATAACTGCAAACTGAATTTGTTTTTACCCAACAGAGAACATTCAATGTTTCGTTGAAGTTCCAATTGTGTTTTTCCCTGATCTTAAGTAGCAAGCCTCAACGGTTTTTCCAGTACTCAAGTATTTTTTTCTTGCATATGTGCATTCTAATCAGAGTTGAGAAGTTTAAGTAATATGATTCAAAATACGTTTAGAACTTTACTTCTTCCTCACACTACAGACTTCTCGTATATTTTTCGGGAATGAGATGCGTTGCTTATATCTATAGAAAATACAAGAAATAATGACAATATATGAGCGCTACTTCCTATAATTCGCCCGTTCCCCTTAGATGATCTTGGCCGTGCGTATAATAATAATACTGAAACCTAAGATCACAATCAATCAAACGACTATCAGAAAACATTATGCACTCAAGCATATGCATTATTGTTGGTAACTGTCCGTCTAAAACAGCAGCTCTCAACATTTTTTCGTCTGCACCGCTGAAATTTTTTAATATCCTCGCAACCCTCATAACAATAGTTTGAATGTCCTCGTATATCAACTGTTCCAAATGTGTACACTATTGAGAGTGCGTTTTAGCCTTTTTATAAATATATACGTCAAAATGCATCCCTTTTACTTTACACACATAAATGCGTTGAACTCTGCCCTCGCCTACATAAATTCATAAAAAATGGGACGTTATCTCGTACACCTGGAATACTACGTCGCACCCCTGGTTGAAAAACGCTGTTTTCAACACATAATCAATGAGCTAAATTATGTTCTGAAGTAATGCTTCATCACAAAGAACAATTCGTAGCTGATCAAGTTAACAAACACATGATTATTGATTAGATATTAGAGTATCGAATATTTTCATAGAATTAGAACTGAATAGACTGATGGTAAACTAATAAACACGAAACAGCTCTTAGTCTTGTAAATCTGAATTTTAATAATTTTGCAACAATCTTTTCGCATTTAGTGAACGAATTCTGAATTTTTAAAAGTACTGCGAACTGTTCAAGCATATTTTTCACCGAAAAATCTAAACGAAAACTTTCCTCTTGTTTGAACAATGAAAACAAAGCATTCAGAAATCGAAAATTAACGAGCCGTTTGTCGTAACATTACTACCTCTTCGAAGATTATCCTCGTATGCAGTATCACGAAGAAAGCCACCGTTTCCTACTGAGCGTTTTGCCGTTGGTATATGCATGGGCAAGCTTCTTTCAGTTTTTTCACGAATCTAAACGAGCATTATCGAGAGATGAAAAGTGAATGAATAAAGTGAAAATTTTGATAATGAAATTTCAATGAATACTAATCAGAATTGCTTCGTTCATTCAGCTAGGCATATACCATCAAAGGTAATTAGATGGTGAAACAGACAAATCTATGCGTGACCTAATATATATAACATATCATCACATTTCAATTAAAACAACAACAAAGCAATCAAATAAAGTAGTGGATGAGAAGATTTATTTTGATTTCATTTTAAAGTCATCATTACCATGTATCTGCCTTCGAGATTTATAAATTGCTCAAAAGTCAATTATTAAATAGAAAACCAGAAAATGAAGTGTATTATATGATGATGAATGCGCATAAGTGAAATAAAACATTTATAACCTTAGTTATTGGGCCAGGTGTTGAAGTGAGTCTTGATGAGCCGCCTAACAGAGATTCGACACTAGCTGTTGCGCTGTCGCGATTTGCTGCCGTTGAACGCGATGACTTTACGAAGGTTTTCATAGTGTCATATGCACCTATTGGACGAACGTCATTGTAGAATCCGCGCTGCATTTCGATGTTCGTACGTCCTTTTGCTGAAACTCTAACGAAAGAATAAACAAACGACGAAACGAATAAACATGCGAAATACACACAGATAACTTCAAATTTAAATGCGAACAAAGCTGATTTTTTAGCAGACTAATATGAGACAATCTGAATGTATACATGAAAAAGTGAACAATTAACCTCGACATGGATCATGATTATGAAGGAAAATATCCAATGGATCCCATCCACCACCAACGCGGACCATCACCGTTGTTCTCAATATTCGTACCATACGTTTGATTTGCGTGTCACCGAACTACAAATAACAAACAAAATAAAGGGATGAAGGACGATAATTATATTACTCATTGTATCATATTACAATAATACAAAAAAGATACAACAGAAACAGGAGTTATTTTACTTCAAATCACGTGAATAACGAAAACTATTGCGATACACCATCCATACTGCTTAATTCACTGTCATAATTCTAAGCGGAATTTATCGTTAAATTAATTGTTTCTGTGAAGAGAGGATGAAATACATCGTGAGAATAATGGGATGCTTTAAAAGTTCCTGACAAATTTTTATGCAACAATATCAACATCAGAAAGATGAATAAACGATGTAGCTCGACCAAAAATTCCAAATAAAAACCCGAATCCTTCTACTATTGAAAGGATTGCCAAAAGAACATAATATTTGCAAGATAAAACTTGTCCCTTTTGAGGAATATGCACCAAAAAATGACTGGATAAAGCAACCGACTAAGAGGAACGTAAAACACACCAAAATGAAAACGAAATTACACCACAGAATGAATACACACCAAACGAAATGTTTATCGCTATTTTGATCTCACAAATTCCAACGTTCCGCTAATCTACTCCTATTCGCTTGATTAATCATGATTTACTCAATACTCAAACAGTCAAGCAAACAAATAAATAATTTTACCCAACATAAATAAAGATTGAACGCAGGATAAATGAGAATGGATTGCTGCTAACAAAAACTGAACAATTCCTTAAAACACATACATGTAAACGAATTGCCTTCTCATCCTAAAACCCACAATTTCGAGAAATCAATCATTGAGTAATTCGTTCAGATAATGTGATGTAATGAATAATGTAATCCGGATAAATAATGCTCCCAAAGACCTCAAGATAATGAACTAATTATGAATCACTGATACGGATCATCAAAAGAATCAGTGAACATATTGACTAATCGATAGAATAATTACACCAACGAGCGAGCAAACAAATAAATAATTTTACCCAACATCCATTCATACTATTTACCCAACACAAACACTCTCGAACCATCTCAAAATTTCATAGAATCAAAGTAACATCGAACTTTAATCATGAACTGTAAAATATATATTGTTTCATCAATAATAACGATAGCAACAAACAATACTCACGCGATAATGTCCTTCGCTGACTTTTTGTATTTTGTACGGATTTGAACAACTGCATTTTTTTGATTGACGAATCACTTCTTCATTAATCTTTTCACCCTCTGTCTGCTGTTTGAAAACATTTTTCTGAAATATCATTTTGATGCTGAGATAATAATTATTATGTAACCATTAATTCATCAGTACTCTCACTGATACTTTAAGCAACAAACTGCATGAATCATTACCTTTGCATAATCAGATCGAAGTCTTGCCAAAAATTCTTTCGCAACGATCATACCATCGCCTTTATCGAATTCATCTGCTACCTTCATCATTTCAAGGTAAGTTGTCGGAAACTCTGAAAGAAAATAGGTTCATAAATGAAGAAGAAGAGAAACGAAACTCGACTGAGCGTATTGTTCATTCAAAATCTTACTTGAAGACATGATACCATCTATAAAGGATGATCGCCGTACACGACCTGTACCGCTCTTATCAATCCTTCTAAACAAGTCTGATATTCGAGCTTTTCCTGATGCAGTCCACTCCAAATACCGTTCACGCCAATCATTAAACGTAAACGATTCCAATCTCTTCAGCTACAATTTTGCAATCACCTTATCAATCTGCCTTAATGCCTCATTTGACCAATACATAACTGATTCTTGCAACACACTTTACTAGAACGTTTCACAACTTCAATTCCCCAACAATATCAATGAACAAAACACGAACCTCATCCAAATACGCTTTCTTCGCTTGTAATTTCTGACCGTAATCCATCGAGTCTACCCACAGCCGTTTCCAACTTTCCGACAACTGATCTGCTTTTACATGCCGGATAGTTAACATACGTCTTAAACATTATATTTTGAATGATACAGCAGCACGACGATCATTAATGCAAGGAAATTAACACATGCTAATTAAAGCAGTAATAATAGTTTATAGAAGATTAAAATTCAGCAGAATTCTCTTCATGAATCTAGTAATCGAATCAGATTCCCAATTTTACAAATTGAAGGTTAGGAGCTAAATTATACAATTGAAAGAAGTGGAAAAACTGATGAATTCTCATAGAATGTTAACTAAACTTGATAGAACGCACGGATAAATGCAATGAAAACTTTTCGACAATTCGTTGATAATCGAAGAAGATAAGATATCATCTGATACGATTAAATAATTGCTAAAAAATAATTCAGTTTCCCAAATCACCAACTTCTTCATCGATGCGTTTGATGCGACATTTTCATCGCCTGAGCATGCTTTGCGACGACCTTTTGAGGCTATATCAATATCTGTTTGCCTTTCACGCAGTGTACTTTCGAATTTTTCATGATCATTGATCAGCCTGAACATTCTCTTTAAATGAACAATTCAAAAAGCAATTCGAATTGAAAAAAAGAACGAATTCATCATAAATACAGATGCTAAAGTACGTTTATTGAAAAGTTTGCGTATTTATAGAGACATACGATTCAATTAATCCAAGATCGTCTGGGAGTTCTTCCTCATTATATTGTTTCAATACAGCACTCTTTGAAGACACAAACTTCATCATTTCATCGATCAATTTATCTTGTTCATAAAGACCAGTTAATTGCTAAAAAAACAATTGATGTATGGGAATGAGTTAAGTATAAGAGCAGTAATAATGATCAAATAATAGTAATCAATCGAAACTTTGATACAATAATAGTCACAACACACTAAAAAACACGCACAGTCTGGATGAAACATGAAATCAACCTTTTGAAGTTCATCATGCTTTGAATCAATCGCCTGTGATATTTCATCCCAGCGTGTCTGAAGTATCTTCAGCCAACATCTTACCGGCTGCTTCGCATGAGGAACACATTTTGCATGAATCAGTTCACCTGCTTCCAAAATTGATTTTAATCGAGGCTCCTCATCATCCAATTCTTTGCGTAACTGCACAACATTATCCATTTGTTCGAGAACTTCCTTTTTGATTTCTTCACTTTTGCCCTCCAAACAGAAATGATCATTGTTAGTTTCAATTCTTATTATGTCAACTAAACAATATATTTCACAATTATCATTTCATACAACAGTTAAAATATCGCTTCTTTTCAAATTATACTTTTTAATGAGCTCATGGAAGATTTCCAGAAAAACTTTTAGAAATGTAAAGAATTCACAAAAATTATGCACAAACTACCTTCGTACGCAATCTTGCTTCAATACGTGGAAGTTTTTCAAGAAGATTGTGTGCATCTCTTGTGAAAGATTCAGCATCACTTAGCGCTTCCTTTAAACGCTCATCACGTTTTTTTGCTAACGATTCTAATTTTTCCCAATCAGCGTTCAAAGAATCCAATTTTTCGCGCAATCCACTCACTGTTTCATTCTCATTTTCATTACCATTTAGCATCTATAATTTTATTGATATTAGTCCGATTATACACAATTCACGACCACTGCTGGCCCATGATCAGTTGGTAATGTTCATTCAGTTGAAAGTAATGCGTTGCGGGGACCGAACAAAGTCGAGGACGAAATCTCGCAGTCAGGAGCTCAAAACTGCAGCTGGCTCGAGAAAAGTCGGAGACGAGGAATCGGCGACGAGGTAATCGAAATTCCCTGTTCCTCGCAACACACTAGTTGAAAATAAAACGCAGAAGTCAAAAATTTTAAATACAACATATTCATGCTGAGTGCAGGTGATGATGAGGCGAAAAATTCAATAAGATGACAACAAAAAATGAAACAGTAGATACCTGATCGGCATGTTGTCTTACAGATTCTAATGATGCTCGCTGTGATTCAATACCATTCAAAAGCAACTGATGCTTTTCAATTAATTGATTTACAGTATCTAAGTCACCGTGCACTGGTTCATTTTCACTCTCCTCCAAAGATGGTAATTCTTTTTCAAGCCATTCTCGTAATGATGACAATGCTTCATCGAACTGACCACATGCCAATAAGGCATCTTCTATCTTCCGCTGCCTGAATGGATAACATCAATTTATACAGTATTCACACTTACTACGCTCATTATTGTGACACTCATCGCTGCATGAATGAATTTAAATGAAAATAGAGCAACTAAATTAAAACCAGGAAAATGTTCAAAATGATGATTAAATGATCAACAGTTGAAGAAACAAATCAGAATATTGACATCCAATACTAGGATAATCATTAGAAAACAAAAAAAAAAAAACAAGAGCGGAATACGAGTAGTGAACAAAAATACGAATATATTAGGACATACTTTTCAACTGATAAGTGGCATAATTCAGTCCATTGCTCCCTTAGTCGCTCGTTGAGTTTAGTAATTGTCGCCGCTTCATTTTTTGATGCGTGCTCTATGAGTGACTTACCACGCCTGTACGTTGTATCAAACATCGGCTGACGGCCCGCAAATTCTCGTTGAAAATCTTTATGATGATCCAAATCATCACGCATTCGTTCGCTGAATGTTGTCTGCAATAATGAACAACTAATACATTATAAAAATGACTGTGAGGTTACAGTTACTCAGATGCTATGAAGTATCCTCAAACACTTAGCTTCAAATGAACAAAACCATGTTTGTACTGAAGGATAACAACAGAAATCGCTCACAAACCTGCACGGATTGCTCTTCAAGCCACTTTTTACTCGACTCAATCCAATCGCTGAGCTGTGCATGCATATCAAAAAATGAACGAGCCAGCTGGAAAATATCGTCAAGTTGTTTCCGACGATCTGATGATCTTGAAGCGATTTTATCGAAACGATGTTTAGCAGTAACAAGGAAGTTTTTGATTGGAATCGCATCTTTCTTCTCACATTGATACTGCAGCCTTGTGCCAACGTTGTTCATCTCGTTCATTAACTCACGATGTAAAGCTACCTGAAAGCAAATTGAATCCGTTCATGTGACTGATTGAATCAAAAGATAAGAAATACCTCAGATATGAATTCTGCGTGTGCGGTCACTTGCTTTTCGAGAACATCTGGCATTCTCGAGATTGGTTCTAAAGTATTTAGTTTTCTATCGGCATTTTTCAACCAATCTGTCATTTCATTCATCGCTGAATGTAGCTGCTCCGCATCTGCGAGTGCTATTCTCAGCATATGCTCTTTGTCTACCATCTTTTCTTGAACCTGAAACACGAAATCCTCTACAATTGCGACTGGGAAGAAAGGAAACCACATTTCTTATTCACATCATCAATATGAAATATTTTCAATATCAAATCACGTCGTAGGCTCCGAAAAATTTTTAAGAGCTTAAAAGTTTTCTTTGAAATAATCCAAACATATTAGGGTTAATCAAATAGGACTCATTTAACTGATTTTTCTATTGCTTTCAGAAACATTTTTCATTACAGCTCTTGCTGAAATAATTATCACTGATCTGAACTAGATTATTAATTAGTAGAATATGTTAGAAAGGCAATATGCCATATATCTAAGTAGGTATGAAATAGACGTGATCAAAAAGAAAACTGAAATTGAATTACGCACGTAAAGCACAGACCTGAGACCATTTTTTCTTCAACTGAGCTGCACGCTGCGCCACCCACGTATCTTTATTACCAACATTTTCCGACAGATATTTGTCGCTGGCCTCTAAATGTGCTTCCAATTCGGGACGATTCTGCTCGATTTCTGCCTGAAATAAAATCATTGGTACAACCGAGAATGTGATCGGACAATCTGCCTAAAGACGTTTTGCCTAAGGAAAGTTTGTCTAACGGACAGTTTTTTGATGGATATTTTGCCTAATAGGCAAACCTTCCTTAGGCAAACTGTCCGTTAGGCAGTGTTTCTTTAAGCAAACTGTCCTTAGGCAAAACGCCTTTAGGCAGATTGTCCGGGCACCAATCGAGAATATTATTCGAACACTGAGTGTAACGTATTCGAACATCGTAGTTCACATGAGGAACTATCGAATGATGAAAGTTCAACAAATATTGATGGCGGCGTTAACAATACTTACTTTGAAAACGAGGAAGTCATCCAGTTGTGCATGCGCAGTTTCTGGAAGCCCTCCACACGGCCTTTTGGACGACAAATCAAATTCTTTATCTTGCAACCACAAAGCCCACTTATCCATTTCAGCTCCTAGATTCTCAGTTGCTTCTCGAGCTTCAGTTAACTGAAACAAGAAAATTTTAAATATAGCTAAATACAGTCACTGATTACCGAATTTTCCAAACAAGAAATACAACAAATAATAAACTAGTTCGAACACCTCACAAAATTAGGTTCCAGAACGATAAGGCAATAACAAAAATCAACCTGATCCCAAACATCCTCCAGTTTGTCAACGAGTATATGCCATCTCGCATTCAAATCGTCAATCTTAGGCTGCGTTGCTGCTGTTGACTGCGGATCAATACTAATGATGCGTTTTGCCGCAGCTCGTACCGCATCTATACTTGCTTCGTGCATTAACACATCGTTCTGGATCACTTTATGCTTACAAACCTCAATCTCCACTTCTTTCACGTTCGTAGGACGCGTATTTATCTGAAAATATCGCTTGGCTTTCAGTGCGATTGTTATCAGTCATACCATTGTTAGCATTATCAGATGTTGGTGTTATCAGCACATTCAACGGTAAACTTCGGAAACGATCTTGTTCACGGCTATTGACTAATAAGTCGTGGGTTCTCGTTATCACAGAAGACTGGTTTTTAGTCAACAAACGTGAATGATAAATTATCGAATGTGGTAATAAATGAAAGACCTCGTTAAGAACACGCTCTGTTTTTTCAATCCATCCCATAAGTTGATCATATGTTTGTGAAAATTGACCCATCTCCAACAAAGTACGTTCCATTCGTTGTTGACGCTCATTTAGAAATGCGTACAGCTGAAAGGATATAAATACAAGAGTAGCGAATCAGAATAAATTGTCTGAGCGATGTAAAAATATTTAATCACTCGGCAAAATAATACGATTAAAACAAACTCGATTCCATCGTGAATTGAGATCACTGATTGGTGCACGTAGAGCAGATGACTGATTCGAATCAATACCAATGCAAAGATTTGAACACATTTGATTCAGTTCTTCTTTCCTTATAGCCTTCTCATCTAATGTTGAACGCAACTCTTCAAGAGATCCTAGCTGCAATGGAAGCGTTTCGGAATTACAAAAAAGTTCGATGGGATTATGAATTAAAATTAACAGCTAATTTCATCTTCACTCTTTCGTTGTCGCTATCACTAATCGAAATTATCTGTTCAAATATTAACCTCTTTTTGTATTGTTTCAGGTGAATCACTTGAAATCGGTGCTAATGCATAGACTGTATTCTCAGTTTCACCTAACCAACGTTCCAATTCCGAGAATAAGTTATGGAAGTTCATTGCTTTTTCCATCGAATCAATCAGATCAACATTTCTTAAACAAACAACAAATCTTAGATCACAACATAATGACTGAAGCGATTAAAATAACAAATGGATTAGTTATCTACGAAACTGCATAAATTCATTATGCTGATGCACAACATTTGCACAGTTTTAAATTCGTGTAACATCAGCTGATACGCTTTTGAATAAGATACAATATTCGATATCATACTGAAAAACCATAAGGCCCTATAGTGTTCTCAAAACGGGTGATGGAGCGTTGGAATGATTAAGAGGATTTTACAATTGAATTCGTTCTTTCCAAAGTATTTGAAAAAAAAACATTCATTTCAGCTCACTTTCGAGCGAAAATCTCTGTGATAGTTGCAAAACTATCTTCAACCATGCCAATTTGCTGTTCAACATGCGCTTTGCCTTCATCAGCAACAATTTGACATAGCTCACGTCCCGCATCTCTTAACTCACTCATTAACGGCTCCGTGGCCGTTAAATCCGCATTGAATGCCTGAAATACTTCTCCATAAAGATGACGCGAAGTGTCTTAAAATAATCAAAGTGCGACTTATTGAAACATTTAATACAGTAATCGAATATGAAATGATGCAACTCGAGTCTTTCGTTCTAATGAAAACATAAAACTCATGAAGAATCTCAAAACAATACCCTCAATTGAGTTTTCTGTTCTTCAATTAATTCAAGCTGTCCTATCGCTGGTTGAATATCATCAATTCTAGCACGTAATTCTTCAAGAGCTTTCTGACAATTTTCTAGTTCGGCCCAAAATCGCTCTGCCTTCTTCAAAGTATCTCCAAGTCGAAGCTCCATTGCTGAAGCTCCTTCATTCAATTCTTTCCACAACGCATCCAGTACTTCCAATTTCGCTTTGATATCTACAAAAGATGAACATTTCAAATTCAGTAGCAATTTCTCACGAAAGGATCAAGAATATTATGGAACAGATAGAGAAAATTACACTCTAATTATAATTATACAATTTTAAGAGTGGCAACTCTGTTGAAAAAGGAACTGATAGGCTATATCAACTAAAAATCTTCATGATTAACAAAAATAATCAAAAACCAAAAGTAGATTACCTTCAGTTGCATGATCTTCTGGATTGGCTTCTTGCAAAATTTCTTGAGCATATTCCTTAACCGACTTTAATAAACCTTCTTTACTTTTTAATTCTTCTTTTAGAGCCATGATATCACCCAGCTGCATCTTGATACGATCTGGTTCTGCTGGAACAGGATCAGGATGTCGAACCTAAAAGATACGTAGCAAATCGAGCACTTTCATACATTTCATTTAAAAAATATATATATAAGGGCTACACAGAATTTCTTACAGATGGAAGGCTTCACTTCTCGACGGGGTACAATAACGATACAAACAAAAATAGTCAAATAAATTCCACAAAACTCAGAACATAATGCTACATCAGCAAAAATTATAGAAATGCTACGTCAAGAAACGAAATTAGCATAGGCTTGATAAGGATAAATGTTAAAAGTGTCAAAAATGCTTGCATAACAATAAACAAAATCTGCATAATAATGAAAAAAAAANAAAAAAAAACGAAAAGTAGAAATGATAATTTCACCTGTGCAGCTGCACCATCGAGGTTGGCAAGTATGATGTCCAAGCGATCAGTGAACTGACTGCTGTGTTCGAGAGCAGTTTCAAGAGCATCAGCGCGTTGCTTGATTGCTTCGCGAATTGCTTCAAATCGATCCTCTATACTTTCAACAATTTTCTCCAGTTGAGCCGAATCTTCAGAGTCACATAATTCGCGTAGTGCGTTCACATTTCTTATGAAACGATCCATTAAAGGCCGCTGAGCTTGAATTGAATGTTGTAACTCCTGAACAGTTCTTATCTTTATTTGTTGTCGAACAAAACTTTACCTTACTATGATAATACTTTAAACGGCTCAAAACGTTGAGAAGTGTATCATCGAACTTGGTACTTTCAGAATCATTGTTTCTAACAGCGACGAGTTAATGAACACAAAAGAAAAGAAACACGAATTTGAAATTCAAAAGTCGATAAAAATATGAGAACGCAACCGCATTATGAGCTTGTTGTTTGATAAGTTGATCTCGCTGATTTCCAATAGATATTGATGGACAATTATCCCGTTCATACTCCATTTTTTCTAACCAACTGTGCAATTCACCGAATGACTGATCAACTTCTTGACATAACGCCAATGCTTGCTCCAGTTCTCCTAAACGATCTTCACCCATCTGAGCAACAGCTGTTGACAACTTGCGACAAGGCTGAAACGAGAATTAAGGATAAAGATTTTAGAAGATCATGCAAAAATGATTAGAGAAAGCGAACGTTGGATCTGAGTGAGGGTTGAATAGAATATAAAAAACTAATGGTTCAGGATATTAGTGGGCGAAAAATCGGAAATTTACAACGCAGAATGAGATGACGTTGCAACCTCAAAGGATTCTTATTACATCCAGGATGTGAAAGAAAAGGTATTCTGGCTAACTGAATCTTTCATTGGCGATAAAGTAAACTAGAAATAAACAAATGCACTTTGAAAATCTCGTTTAAACAACCTCACATACTTACAGTACTTATCGCCTAGCACTAATATTTGTACATATCATCGACTTTAATAGGTGTGTAAATTCAATGAGATTGTTTCGTTTCAGTTTTGAAAAGTTCTTAACTAATGTATTAAAGTATTAGGCACAGTACAAAATCAATATGTGCAAAAAAATGAGGAATAAATTTTCACGTAGATCATCTACCTGAATTTTGGCAGCAAGAAGAGCGTCCTGTCCATTAGCCTCATCACCCAGAGCACGAGTAACTTTTTGTGCGTCCGTTACTGCATCTCGTAAACGTGACTTCATTACCGCTATATCTTCATTCATTTGTTTCTGATTCTTCAACTGTTTCATCACGTAATCCGGATCCACAGCTGGTGCTGATGCCTTAAATATTTGCATTCTACGCCATAAGAAATAAATATGAATATTTCTGCTCATTATCCATAATCAATCATCATTAACTTATCGTTCTAGAATTTCAGAATAAAATATGCCCAGCAGCTTTCACCTTCAAAAACAATTTCATAGTGACAGTAAATAACGAATTATATTACTTTCATTAAGCGTTCATTTGCATCTGTAAACCATTCATTCAGATAATCCAATTCATCCAATACTTGACGAGTTTGTCTCTCGGCCGAAGTCAACTTTTCAGCCTTTCGAGTCAACTAAATGATGACAAAAACATTAATTGTTCATAATGACTGCTTGAATAAATCAACAGAGAGCAATATAAAAAGTATAGTGCATCAGATGACACAAAAAGCGCCGCACCGCTCGAGTGGATAAATCTGAATATAATAACTAAATCAGTTTCAGAAGGGGAGGAGAACCTTTTCCAAAGAACACTTCGATGAGCAATTCTGGCGAAATAACAATGATAATAATTGAAACTGCAATCAGTCTAATAATTTATCTCTTAACCTTCTCATCCAATAAATTGAATCTCAGATTCAAGTCGTCAGTTTGTTCGTCTAAATCATTAGCACGTTGACCGTTCCTCAACTCCTGCAACTGCTTTGAAATGCTATTGATTTCGTCTACATCAACTCTCCATTTTCCTAGATCGTCTTCCATTTGTGCTATTAAAGCCGACTGTGCCTCTAGTGGTACCTAAAATTACGAACCATTTCTATCAATCATCTTCAACCATCAGAAACAATTCATTTTGCAGAAATAAAACATCTGGTCAGTGACGTATGACTTGCTACGATTCTGAATGAGTTGATTAATCACTATAGGCAATTTTAAAATATAAATACAGTTGTATATTGACAATTTGCATGGGATTATGAGGTTTCAACAAAACTGGATTCAGACACTTTTCTTCGGATATTTTCATTACAAAAGTAAAATTGAAACTTGAAAAATCTACAGTTTTTTTCTGAGATATAATATAATAGATATTTTAAAAAGAACAAAGACTTGAAATATCGAAACAAATTGTCTAAATATAAATTTGGTTGAATATCTACAAACCTGATCAATGTTTTGCAGGTCTTGCTCGACAGCATCCATCCATTGTTGCACATTTTCACAACCTTCATGAAAACGTTCTGATAATGGTAATGCTTCACTAAGTGTTGCAATTTTTGAATCGGTCACAGAAGCAACTTGTGAATATCGTGTTCGAAGTGCTTCAATACGACTTTGTAATGCAATCGCTTCATCACCGGTCGTTTGACGACACAGTTCACGACCATCTTCCACCACTGTTGACACTAGTGCTTCTTGTTGAGTTACACCCATTGCCAACTTAAATATATTTATTCTTTGTCTAAACAGTGAGACAAATACAATTTAAAAACATAGCAATCGATGCAAAATGAATTAAACGTGACCAAATTGTTCATAATATAAATTTTCATTGCAAAGAACGAGCACTTTCATCAACAAAGTGTTCTTGCAGTTCGATTTTACCTCTGTGAGAAGAGAACTCTGATCAATTAATTCTTCTGGATAAATTGAAATATCGTTGAGTTCGTAGATATCCTTTTCAATGTGATCCAACCATTCACTAAGTTCATTTATGTGCTCCAAAAACGATCCGATCTCTTCATCCATCTAAAAATACTTTCGAGTATGTCTTTTGCTATTTAGCAACTTGTAAAACAATCAACACTGAATGGAAAATTTTTCAATGATAATAAAGAAAACGGAATAATTTGCTTTTTGTTTGCTAACAATATATTCAAATCGATGATGTACCGGATAATCGGACTTTTATCGAAAACTTTTGAATAGAATGAACGAAAATAAACCTGTTGCAATGAGGTGCCACAATCGTTAGCTCGACTAACAATATTATCATATTTTGAGGTGAGCGAATGGAGTGCTGAATCTAATTCCGCTGCCTCTTCGACAGATGTCAATTCAGCAAGTCTAGGACAGAGTTCAACAAGTTGATCAAATTCCCACTTTTTAGCGTTAATGTCTTCTTGTAGAACCTATAAACGAACGAGTATAATCAAGAAATATTGCAGACTGCTAATGACTAAACTAAATGCTGCCATGATAGCTAAAGCCAGCGACTGAAATGAAATTTACACTAATCATACAATACTCAAACTGAATGTTTATTGGCCAGCAATGTGACAACCAAGTCAAAATTAATTGAAAAGAACGACAACCTGATGTGCATTTATCTGCTGTTGTAATTTTTCCTTATCGGTTGGTATTTTACCGAGCTGTTGCAATGACCTTTCAGTTGTATCAAGCCATATTCGTAAGGGTATCGCACTCTGTGACCATTGCTCGGCCAATACTAACGCCTCATGAAGACGTGCTCTCCGAGCATACGCGTTTTCCACAAGAGAGTGATATCTTAAAAGTATAAATCAACATGTCTATGCAGATAATCATGATAGTAACTCATCATGAAAGTGTTCACTGTTCTGCACTGAAAACAACAACACATCGCAGTGGTCTACGTGCAAAATGTGTTTAATCGTAACCCGAAACATTTGCAGCCTGATAAGCATTCCGCAAAGAAGCCAGTCGAAAGGGAATTAATCCGATTCAACTGAATCATTTCTTGAGAGTGTAAATTTACGCGGATAGTGTAAGTATGACTATTTTCATTATGTAATATATCAGAAAAGCGTTCATCGACAAAATTCAAACAAGATCTGTATATCTTCTCCTACACGCCTAAGATTATAAAGTCGTCTAGTTGTCGGATTGATCACAGATGATCATGCGCTAGTGCATCCACCTACAACACGGATATGCACAGTGTCCGCTCGTTCAGATAGAGTGGTAATCTGCGCGGCTTCGTGATGCTTTGTGAAAAGGATCAAAAAATGTGCATTCTTTAATTTGAATGGAAATTGCCATGTATCAGTGTTTTTTCCGAATAAAATTTTTGTCGAAATCTGCAAAGTAAATTGAAGTTCCGCTGCATAATTTTGATCAGTCTCACTGCTATCATCATTATTACTACTGCCAAGCTCAAAATCATCAATGTTTAAAAATCATCAATTGATCTATCTACCTTTGTGATACATTATCAGAAGTTCGTTTCAGCGCAAGACGATGGTCATCATCATTGGCCAATGTGCTGACTTTATCGATCATTCCTTTGAAATTGTCGACACTGCAAAAATTAACTTTTATCCATCCCAAAATACTCCCTTCAATTTTCTCGCACTCTATAATAAACGCTTGAAAACAATTGATGTTGGAACTGAGTTACATGATCCATTGGAATAAAACATTGTTCAGACGCACGAATTTGTTGACTGTAAAGCACTACGTTCTTGAAAATACGATAATAACAATGAACAAGAGTACTGTTGAAATACAAAAGATCAAAAAAGCCCATTTCTAATGTTGGCTTGATTGCTATGAAGTTTGACAGTGACTAGCAATGACTGCTACAGTTCGTGGTTGTATGATAGCAAATCACAGCAAAATTAAAAACGATAATCGTCAGTCGTTTTCGTGACATAAAATCTTACGCTGAGATTCAATGATATCGTTTACATAATTATGAAATAATTATTCATTAATCAAAGAATCAGTCGTCACTTGTGCTCGAAAAATAAACAACGAATGAATGCGTGTGAACATAAACGAACAATACCTCTGCTGTTTCTCATCAATATGCTTCAAAAGAATATCATTCGCACGTGTTTGTTCCTTAACGACTTTGTGTTCAATCGATGGTGGTCGCTGATTCGCTAGTGATTCTTCGGTATCTTGTAACCATACAATTAATGCATTATGAGCATCTGAATAACTACCCAATTCTTGCATTGAACTACACAGCTGCTTTTCACGATCCACAATACGATCCTTGATCTCACTCCAAACATCAATTAGTTTTTTTCGTTCACTTTCCTAAAAGGCGATAACAACAACAATAGGAATAATCACACGAATAAGCAAAACAACAAGAGCATTAATAATGAATAACGATATTGGTAATGGTAATAAAAATAACAATAATGGCTACACACCAAAGATGCCGTATTAATTCCTTTATCAGCATTCCTTATCAAATTTTCACAGTTCGCGATCGCTTGTTCCACTCGTTGTCCCACAGGTCTTAATTTCTCGCGGAATACACGCATCCTTTCTTGCTGTGCTCTAAGCTCATCCAGTTCGGATCGAACTGGCTCAAGCAACGTTTGATCAGCAATTATCTCATCCAAATCGCCATATGTTGCTCTCATTTCCCTCAAAAATACATTCATAAAAACATGTAAAAGCGCACGAAACAAACGGTAAAAGGTGCTCAGTTAAAAGACGTACTTATGAACATCGTTCACTGCTTGTTCAGTACTCGATATAGTCCTCTTGCGTTGTGTGACTGCAATACGAGCTTTATTCAACTGCTCATTCAGATCAGCCAAACGCTGTACAACTGCTCCAGAGCCATTTATATTCGAGAAGGCACTATCACTTTCACACAATTCTTTCCATTCATTCGCTAATCTTTCTGCTTCTTCTTCTTTTTCATTCAGATCGCTCAAAGTTTGATTACAATGTTCCTTTTGAAGTCCGAGGTCACTTAACTCGCACCCTATCGGTGCCAATTCAACCTGAAAACCCTTAGTAGGAATAAAATTCAAAACATTCACTAACACTCTACGGTTACAAATTCATTTCAATTTGACAATTCAGTTTTCCTCATTTTATAACTCCTAAATAGCAAATAAGTACCTGACTGATTCGACAAATATCATTGTTAAGCGTATCAATCTTTCCGCACATATTACTGACAATTTCATCTTTTTCCTTCAGTTCATCAAGTTGACTATGTATTCCATTTTTGATCTGATTATATTCCAAATCAAATTCTCGCATCATTTGTTCGAGTGTTTCTGCCTCATCTTCATCGACAATACTTTGAAGTTCTTTCATTGTTGAAGTCAACTCTCGATGCTGTCGTTGCCAGTTGTTTTCTAATTCAGATAATGCTGCAAGGAATCATTCTTCAATTTATCAACAAAATTTAAACACAGAAAATTGGACAAGTTTCCACCTGAGGCTAACTGGTAATACTCCAACCAAATTCATTCCGTTAATTTAACCGATTAAACATCATCAAATAGCAAAAAGTGGCAAAACGAAAAATTTCATGATGAACATCACAACAAAAAACCTTTTGATAAATCTTCTTTTGTCATTAATACAACAGAACCCGTAATAGCCGTTGTCGAATCAATATTAGCCATACTGCATGAATCTTTAGTGGTATTCAACAGCATCATGGCATCCTCTTTGTATTTATTGAAACGCGATCGTACATCTTTCTATAAATTATTATCACTCTAATATAACCCAGAGCTTTTCAGGAAGATGGTCAATGCAATCACTAGAGCCATGCTGATTTCTTCGAAGTATTCATTGATATTTGTAAGAACATTTAACACGTAGACACAATTTGATGCGTATGCAAGTCTGCACGAATGATTTCTACTAACCTTTTATTCGAATACATCATTTTCTCCTGGTAGTTTTTGATTAATCCAACAAATATATCAGCAGGCAGCAAGAAATGCTGAGGAAATAATTTAATGAAAATTTGACTATCTTAATAGTTGAATACATTTCCTGTCCCATTTTATTTTGGTTACTGAATTTACCATAATTTCAATTTTATTATAATTAATATCACTGCTATCATTATGTAATGAAGCAATTTTAATACCGTTAAAAATGAGGAAAACAAATTCAGTTTCAACCAACCTTATGCTGCGATTTATTGGCCGTATTTCGAACGTCTTTCGACAGCTGATCCCAATCGCCAAATGCGTTTTCAACTCTCCTTTTCAACTGATTTATTGACGGTCCTGACGAAATATCTTGCAATTTATTCAAAAGACTTTCCAACGCATTCAATTCACCATGCTGTCGTTCTACTCGCTTTTCAATTTCTCTTGCAGCTAACGGATCATCTTCCTTTAAATAGCTAGTAGTTAGAAAAATAAAAATCTTTAAGACATAACATATCAATTTTTAAAACATAAACAGCCTGAAAGAATTATTGGTATAAAATAAGAGAAGAACGGACAATAATGAAAGAAATGAATTGCTCTGAATGACTGACGTTATCGTTTGAAAGTTTTTCAAGTGTGTTTTTATTCTGTTCCGTTCTTGTTTCGAAAGATTCAAGTGATGCATTTAACTGTTCAACCAAATCATTAATACGTTCAACATTTGCACGTTTCGCTTTCACATCATTCAACAGTGGATTCCATTCAGCGTTCAACATATCCATATTCAATTTCACTTGTGCGTTTGGTGTTTTTCGTAACTGTTCGCCCAATTTAGCTCTGCAATTATCAGTATTTTCCGGACGGTTCTTCTTTTTCTACTTCCAACTTCAATCGGCTCATCAAAACATTTCCGATTAATAATAGATGTATTTAAGCGAAACAAAGTGGGAACTAATGTAGACAAGTGAATAACCAACAAATGCTTCTGATGAAATACGAATAAAATAAGATGAGTCAGGTCAGGTCACCTTAGAAGTGCGATATCGCCCTCTTTATCCAACACATTTCGGTAGATTTCATCGATCTGCTTACTTTGCTCACTAAGTGCGCGTGGATCAGCTGATATTGATCCAATATCAGATAACTGTCCTTTCATATCTTTCATCCACTTCAGTAAATTTTCAGTCTCCTTAACGGTTTGTCCTTCTTCAGCTTTTGCACTCATCGCCGCACTCTTTAAACTCTCTACAACCAAATTCGCACAATTATCATCACATTCATATACGGAGCTGCATAATCGCTCAACGGAAATCATGCGAATACCGAGATCACTTATAGATGAATGTCAAGCAAGGAGACAGTAATAAAATAAGCGAACAAACCAATTTTTCGATTCAATTCTCGGGTGGATTGTGACGTGATGTTAAGTTGTTCTCGGATATCACTTTGTAAAGCTGGATCATCCACCACTTCGCAAATATTTTCAGCTAATCTTTTCAGATCATCCACTTTAGTATTTGCCTCAAGAGCTCTCGTTTGTAAAGAATCCAATTTGGTGAAACGCTCTTCGAATTCAGTATCGTTTCTCAACGGATTTCTACTCACTTCTTCAACTTCTTCGGCTATTCCCAATAATGCGTTTCTAAAATATAGTGAAATAAAACAGTCTTCACTTAATACTTTGATTGATTCTTACGGAGTAATTATAATTTCGTTTCCACTTCAGCCTAATAGTCAATATCGATTAGCACAATTAGGAAAAATTTAATCGATGTGAAACGAAGAGTAAAAAAGGGAGAGAAGAGAACCATCTAACCTAATATCTCGCTGGAAATTCGAGAACTGCATACTCGATTCCTTGGCCTTCAATAAATTTCCCTTTTTCGACTCTAAACCCTCTTGAAAAGCTATCCAACGGAGATTCAACGCATCCATCTGCAACATTTGTTGAATAATTCTCAAACAAATATGACTTTGAATACCATACAGCATTAATTTCAATTGAATGGAGAACTGGCTAAAAAACATAATTCACTTCAAACTCCACAATCATAAGAATTAACTGAATCAAATAAGATTAAAAGATAAACCATTGCAACTATTTCTTGACTATTTGATTGTGATGACGAATTTGTGATGAGGTCATGTGCTAATTCATTGATTTTTGTTCGATTGCCATTTTGGTCATCCATTTCGGAGTCGAGTAACTGAATATCAATCAAAATAATGAATATAATGATAACAGTTTAAAAATGCAGTTCGACTGAGAACTGAAATCTTTTCGCAAACACCATTCTTCAGGAAATTATTGCATCTGCAGAGAGTTTAAACTCACTTCGATTTGTATTAATTGATTGTTGATCACTTTTGGATCGATATTAATTGTACCGATCACTGACGTTAAACGTTCTTTTTGCTTCAACCATTTGTCCAAATCTTCACAACCTGGAAGATATTTAATATCTACTTACACAGACTTGTTCATACTGGCTTTTCGATTCTTAGTCAATTTGACAATCATTCCTCCAACAGCTTCTGAATGATACCATTATTGACCACTGATTAGAAAAAAAGAATAACGACGAGAATGCAATGTCTAATAGTTCACAGAAAGAAACACGATTAAAAGAACCTTGAATGAGCTTTTTAGATGATTCAGTTCTCTCTTTTGCAGTATTGATTGTATCAGCCAATGTTTGCCATTCCTTCTCGAGAGCTGTTTGTGCATTTTGAACTTCTTCGGCTCCGGGTATTGACATATCGTTCAATAAATGACGAGCTTTTCCACGTACCTCCATCATCTGAGGTTGTTTTTCTTTGTGATATAGCTTCTCAACGCGATCAGCTTTTGAAATATTCGAAGAAATGTCTTCATGGCTTAACGCCACCGGACATTCCGTTTCCTGTAACAACACTGAATTACCGAACCAGCTTATTATAACGAATAGATGTCTTACTATAATAAGAATCAATAATACTTATCAGTTTGAAAGAATTGTCCTACCCTAAAGAACAACGAAATAAAAACCGATCAACAACTAACCAGTCGTTTCGTTTCATTAATTACCCATCTTGAGAGCGCATCTCTTGATAAGTCCCAATCCGCTAATTTTTCACTAATCGAAATGATTTTCTCACTCCTCGACTTCAACAAACTACCGACTGTGTCATAACGCTGTCGAATAACATTTAATTCACGGATCGTACTTTGTGTCTCTTCTGATTTTGTATTAACGCCACTCCGTGATTTCATTCTTGAATATGGTAAAAAATCAATTAGCGATTGAACATGAAATGGATAACGGAATTTTCTTGTGAATGGGAGATTTTTTCTTTTACGGGCAGTAAATACACAAATACATTTAGGCGGTTCGGTTCATCGAGAACAACTTTCAACTGATTACAGTCATAAATGATTAAATTTATGAGCATACATAGATATATATCACTGGCGATTTTAGGCGAAACTCAAATGGTATACACATCAAGGTTGAACTGCATGGATACTTTCTTAAACTTTCAACATTTGACGAATAAATTGTCGCATTGAGACGTACCTTACTAAAGTTTCAATTTCGACAAGTTTTGAGCCAAGATCTTCAAGATGTTCTAACTGAGGCCGGTGTTCTTGATGCTCAGACTGTAACATTGAACAAGCATTTCGTTGATTGGCTAATTCAACCGGGTTCAGCGAGAGTGTATTCAGATCTGGAAACGAAATGAACAAATTTCATTTTACCAACATTGATACGAAAACGGCAACTCATTAATATTTTTAGTTTACTTATTATTCAATTCAAACGATAACTCTCCGGGAAGGAAACAAACTTGTCAGTTCATTACAATATTAATGGAAAATTTAAACAGACCTTGCGCATTGCTTTCAATGGCCTCTAACCATGTGACGATTTCTGCATACGATTCATTGAATGTTTTCCTCTGTGTATTGAGTGCTTCACTTTGACTGATCAGTTCATCGACTCTAGTCGACATCTTATTCAGTGCTTGCTCCATTTTACTGATCTGAAAAGAAAACAAACCAATCGACTGACTTCTACAATCCTTACAATTAAGAATCGAATAAAAAACAAGCAAGTTGAAATGAATGATTTACACTTTGATTTAGCGTGTCAGTTTCTGCTACATGCGGAACAACCATAATATAATCATGTTCTTTTTCAATAATTTTCCAGTCATCATTTTGGATTGCAGTCAACTGTTCACGTATTTCATTCAATGAATCCACATCATTTGATGTCAGATATGTGAGCTGTTCACCAACTGCCATCAATTTCTCATTGAATACTTTTTCAGCATCACTAAAACGCATCATTGCTCCATTCAAATCGTTTATCGCTTCTTGTCGAGTCTGTAATCAGTAACTACGATGTACACTCTTTTCAACTTTACCCAATCATGCCCAACAGATAGTGACGAACATACCTGTGTTGCAGCTACAAGTGGAGCGAAATCTTTTTCGGCGCATTCATACTGTTCCAATAAAGTTCGACGCGCTGCTGAAGTGGGATTCCCAGCTGCTGTTCTCGAAATTTCACTGCCCAATTCAGTGAGCAGTTTTTGTCGGGATTGCAATTCGCGTAGTAAAAATTCATTCTCTCGCCTCTTAAAACAACTTTAGTTGACAAGTATAAATTTGTTGCTTTTTACCTTAACATAATTTTGATACTTCGACTAAATCAATCGTCAACTTTACGCTTGCTTGACTACTTTATCACACTAAGTGCAATGAAATACGATTATCATCCTTCTCTCCACGATCGAATACGAACATTATTAGCGTTCAATCTTTTTGAGTGAGGAAACGGTATGAATGAAAAAAACTTATTACAAGCAGAGAAGACAACACAATGGTCAACCAACCATTTCAGAAAGTTTCTCGGTTGAAAGGGGCAATGGACATGGCGAGGCTAATTGCTTTTTTTCATTCAACCAATCTAAAATATCAGACATTCCCTTACGGATCCCTTCGTGCATCGCTATCTTACTTCGCCATGAATCGATATTTTCCTCAATTCGATTCTTATTTCGCGATTGTCTGCAATAAACATCTCTCTCACAACTTTTGGATCCATTCCGATATATAGAGACACTATTTTTATGTCAACTTTGAAATTCATCTACATATTTATGGGAATATTTCTGAATGAAGCACACAGATATGGGAATAATATCATCAATCTTTCAACATTAACAAAACGATTATACTCATGAAAAAATGAGTAATCTGTTTCTTTTTTCGGAGGCACAACGACACAAATTGTTGATCAAAAAACACGAGCAAATGCGAAGCTGTAACGAATAACGGTAAAAATCAAACCTTCTTTGAAAATCATCTAACTGTTGTTGATTCTCGAGAACAATTCGTTGATGAGCATCCGTACCTATCAGTGCACTATTCAGTTCAGCTGCAGATCGTAACGCACAGTCAATTCGACTACTCTGATTCAAGCAAACTTGCTCTAATTCTTCCATATGTATTAGCCTGAATAGAACAAAATATTAGGCAATCAATCATTTATTTAACTGAACTCATTCTCCATCCTTTTCTTGCATGTACTCTTTAAACTCATAACGATCATATTTCATGGCAAGAAAAAGAACGAATTAATCAGCTGTTTCGGATCGTTGGCACATTCCGATCGCACACACACACACACACAAACATCTCACAATAAACATGGCAGGAGGAGAACGTGATGATTTCAGGAGTTGAAAGATGAGCACTAAACATGAGCAACGGTCATCAGTAGTGATGGCTACTGAGAGCAATGGCTACTGGCTACTGAGAACAATCATTAACTATTTCAGATGATTGCTATAATCGTCTTCAGACCCTGGTTGATATGAGATAGAATTTCTTTTAAAAAATAGTGACAAATAAATACCAGCATTATTCGACGAAATTAAAAATTGTCACTGTGAAAAGAAACAAAGTGAACTTACATGTCGGACATAGTCGAGCTATCTGCACTTACATCACTACTGATGACCGTTTTTTCAGCGGATGAAATCTGCCTTTCCAACTCAGATATGCATTGCGATAATGCATCAACATTTTGTGAATGAGATGCAGCCAACGAATTAAGTCGATTCAAGAACGCTACCAAATCTTGGCATCCACGAAGCAACAGTTCATAATCGGTCTGAAATTGGAATTAAAATTGGATTCCGACAGAACAATCACAGAATAATTACAATCGCTGCAGAAACGGAACTTTTTAGAGCTTACTGCTGTTAAATGCAATTCATTGTCGCTGGTGACATTAAAAACCCATTATGCAGTCATATACTTCAACCGAATCATTAAAAGAATGCAAATAAGTTGTCAGTCAAAGATGCTTCAACCAACATTACACTCATTAAATGAATATAAATAAATTGTCACTCAAAAAGTGACATACTAATATGAAGTGAAATGATGAATGAATCATATGAAATGGTAACCTGCAATCGTGTGAGAGTGCTATTCAATTCTTGCGGTTCTGTAGCTGGAATTTGAGCATCCGGATATTGAATTCGTAATTCTACGACGTACCCGTCATATTCTGATTGAATTCTTGTTGCCAAACTCGAAATACTTTTTAAACGAGTTTCATTACTCGAAATTTCATCTGTTAAAGCCTATAAAAGAATACATCAATACACCTTCAACTTAGTAACTAATCAAGTTTTTTGAGATGCGTTTGAGAGAGGGCAAATTATCTATTCGATATTTCAAACTCATGGAATATAATACGACTACGCGATTAATTGGAGGTAGGAGCAAACTTATTTTTGCTACAAAACTTCATCTTTCCGATCACAGTCGAACTGAATCATTACCGCAATGTCGAAGTGATTTTTGAGTAGGTAAAGACGAAGAGCACCGAAACGAGAAAACAAGACAGGAGAAGATCATGCGGATTTCAAACGAAATATTTGAGACGCAATTTTTTGAATGTTATTCTAAAACATAACTTGATCTAAGTGTTGCTATAGGAAAAAATTCCACGCAGGCTCTCCGTATCGCTTGACGAATATTGTTGAAGTACGATAATTCTCAGAACATTAATGCGTGTCCTGAGCTATGATAAACTCAAATAAAATGACATCCAACAGCCTCATTTACTTGGATTCTCTACTTTAACGATGCATTGTGTTTGAAATGCTTTGTCGAACTGTTGAGCTGTGTTACAACAATGAAATTTTTTGATAAGACATTAATAAATGAATACGTACTCGCGTCAAATTTATGACCTCTAGATGAGTGTGACCCTTCATGTGGTTTTTTGTGATCCACGAGAGCTTAGGACGGTATGACATTAGGTTCTATTTCGAATATTTTGTACACTAACTAATTTTATACGGCATCTCTCTCACGAATGTATCACTATCACACCGTTGATTTGTAAGCCTACGATTAGATACTACAAAAATATTCATGCAGACAATGCACATCATAAAAATTAAGAGATGATACGTACTTTTGCCTTATGCCGAGACTCGTTGATTTCATTTGGATCACCACTTTCGGCTCGAAGAATAGACAACTGCCGGGTTTTTTCATTGACAAATGAATGCAACGCACTTGATTCATTTGAAAATTCCAGAAGAAGTTTCGTTAATTCACTCAATCTTAAAACAAAACGAACGCTCAATTATATGTGCACTTTAACGCATTTATGGAGGAAACGTAAGCATAATAATTGACATAATAAATTGAAAAATGAATTTTTTTATTCAAAGAGAAACCTTTGAAGAACAGAATCTGTATGACGCAATAACTGATTGTAAGTTGTTTCAAGTCGATTTCTGTGTTCCTTTAAGGCATGAAATTGCTCTGGGGTGAGCATTTCAACTCCATCGTTGCATAATCGATCTGCTTCAGCGATATTTTCTTCGATTTTACTCGCCCACGACAATAGTTCATTTCGGACATCCTTTAAAGAAAATGAATAAATGAATGTAGTCCTTTCTTAGCGATAAGAAGATACAAAAATACAATGATTTCACAGTAAATAGATACGGTTCATAATGTGAACTGTTCGTAATTTCAATTCGTTACGAGCACAACCAACAGCACTTAGTTTATAACTTATCATGCAAAATAGTGATGGCATTTGAGCGAGGTTTCGTGTTGATCGGAATCCGACTGACTTGACATTTTGAAATTCCAATAGTGAGAATTCCGACCGACCTTTCGAACTGCTCAGTCGGAATCCCGACCGAAACTGTCTGATTTTTCCGAGTGACCGTCTATCGGATGCCATCACTAATGCAAAAGCATGTAGTTGACAACGATTGACTCAAATTGTCGATGCTACTATAAATGCTCATAGAGGACATGGGAAACAGCGCAGCTCAATATTGATCGCTTCTTATGACTTCCAGTAAGTTATTCGTTTTCTCTTAAATTTAGAAGATTGAGTGTATCAAAAGATGAAGTAGAAAGTTTGCAAAATTGAGAAGCTTTGCGAGATATCGATTTTTAGAAATTTTAAGTATTCTCAGGAGAACTAAAAGTCTTCAACGTGACCGATGAACGAATAGTACATAGATAAATAATTCTTTCCAAATTCTCTTTCATCAGTTTTGATAATCCGTTCCCAGTTTTATTTTGAAATATTCGTTTCCATAATTTAGAATAAGCAGTAATTCTGCCAATTTAGGGCACAAAAATACGATTTTTAAAATGAATAATCGCAGCGAAAAGAATTCCCGTAACACATGTGTTTTAAATCAGCCTATCAAAAAAAAAGATAGAACTAGGGTTTGCACGGGATCCCGATCCTGGGATTTCATAAAACAAGTCATTTTTTATGAATTTGGTAGTATACTCATCTTGAATCAAGCATTAATCATTCCCAGCTTATTCATATGCAGTCGTATCTGTTGTTTACCACTGCCGTGATAATGGAAAGATGATTTATTGCATGTCTCCATCTCGCCTTTCATTTCTCAAAACAGTGACCAAGAATTTCATAATGTCACCGTTGCTTCATTTTTCGTTATCAACGTTGCTTTGTCTTCCAATTCCGCATTTATTCATAAAATACATCTTCAGTAGCCAGCTTTCTTAGCATTTTCTTCTTTTTATACCAAACTGAGAACGCTAATGACTGATGCAACATTTCTGAGTTTATTTCAAGTTCCAGTGAATTTTATTCCTTGAATCTCTCTCTCGTTTTTATGTCAATCTTAATTTTATTTTGTTCGCTACAATATGGATAATCATTGATGCTTGTCTGTTTCAAATGTTGTTATGATGTTTAACATTTCTGAAAGCTGATCTCAAATTTCACTGAATTTTATCCAAAACATTCTTTCATCGATCAACTTTCTTCTGGTGGAATTCTAAAAAAAAAACGAAACCTCAGAATCAATTATAAGTTCAACAAATTTCATTTAATATAAGAAGCATCTTATACTTAATCAACAACGCAAGATAATTAATAGGAGTTCGAATGAAAGAAAGCATAGTGAATTCATTTTCATAGGAGAGTAATCAAATGACTCAATCATGCGCTGGAAATTCAAAAAAATTATTTGAAGATTGTTTGATAATTAAAAAATTGTTCAACAACTATTATATTAATTTTTGATATTAAAATTTTATCTGATCGCAAGTAGGGTTTAACATACAAATTTTATCTTTTTAATGCTTGTCTCTTACGCTGATGCTCTGCTTTGCTGAATTTGTTGAATGATTTGATTAATAAACAGTTTTCTGATTAATTATGAATAACGTGTTGAAGATATCACACTTCGGTATTTCAAATTTGTTGAATCCCGGGATCGTCTTGGAATTGAGAAGCGATCCCAGTGTCAATAAAGTGGTCAAGATTTTGCAAACCCTAGATGGAACCAGGTGAGTGGATAAACACGAACGAACCCAAATGTATAACCAACCTGCATTCGTTCTTGGGCAAGAACCGCATCATTGGATGAATAGTTGATCAAAGTGAACCTTTCGGAAACTGTTGACGACATTTCGTTCAATGAATCGAGGATTTCACTCATATTAGTTTGTCTCGCGGTGCATTCATTGTGTAACTCCTCCTGTTGTAAAGTTGATGTATATATTCAGATGAATTATTAACTTTACTTTATTAATTTGCAAAACAATCTTTACTGCTATTATTGCTACGATTTAATTACCTATGGGCACTGACACGTCCATCGTTGATCCGTTATGAACAAAGACTATTTTCTTTCGTTTCATTCAATCATTTTCGTCAATGCATTAACGATTTCAATTTTTCCAAGTTAACAAGCTAGCTGAAGTTAGTGTATCAATCTTTGTCATGAACGGTTTCTACTTTTCACATCAGCGAAATATTTCATACCATCGGCTGCGATACTGGCAACCGATAAGTTCGAATTCATTGATCTCGGTCTTTTCTGGATGATGAAAATTTTGAAATTCAACCAAATATTGAATTTTGGACTTCCTATGATAACGTTTTTCCTTGTACTGCACTATGTAGTCTATTGAAAAACTAGGTTCAATGTCATTTCGCAAGTGGTTTATAAGAAAATTCAGGTCAGATGATGGATAAGACCCTGACAGATCTAAATTTATGTAACAGAAGTCCTCGAGCTCGTTTCACTTCATCATAGAAAATGGTAAATCTGCAGGATAAATTTGGCAGCTATTCAGCTTCCTGAACGGTGACTATAATTATGTCACTGCACTGTGCCCGAGCACATCAATAAATTATCTGATAGTCAGCTGAAATTGTTCTTTCGTTTTAAACACTGTGCTCATGGCCATAGAGAGTAATTTATTTGAACAGACGTTGAATTACACTTAGGACTGATTATGACTGAAACTTACGGATATTTGATGAACATTCGAAAGAAATTTTGAAACACTGATGTGTTCATGAATACATCCAAGTAAAGTAAAAATACTACTCATCTACTTGTAAAGTACCGTCATATCAATCGCATACTGATGGTGGGTGCAATGTTAATGAGAAAGATGAGCTCTTCAGTCTCACTCAGAGTAAATTTTCGCCATGCACATATGAATTTGAATTGAAAAATTGAGAAACCACAAGCCATGCTCTTCAAGACCAACGAATAATTGTTATAGTCATTGCAAATACCGCTGTCATTATTACCGTTACTGTTTCGTTATATGGCTTCCATAAAACAATGGGATGAAAGATGAAGCATTATCCCTGATCGTATTAAATACTTTGACAGCATAAAATGCGATCATCATCTCACTCGATGGCGATGTTAACCGACATTCAACTTCAAAACATAAAATTAATCTCTGAAATAACAGAAACACTGTTAATAATGACAATAACAACATCAGTGTTAGAGAACAAATCAATCGACAAAATACCCTGATGGAATTATGAAAGCAAGCTGAGCATTTAAGCACAAAGGATCAAATCAAGAACGTTCATCATATTCATTTTAGCATTGCCAATAGCAGAAAAAGTTTATACATCCATTTATACTGTAAATCAGAATACAAAATAGTAAAACAATATCTCTCTCCAATGGAAAAGTACCAGATAACAGTGATACCGAATCATGCAATAAGAAATGTTAGCGCTTAACCCAATATTACCGTCTGAACTACTAGATTACCACTATTTCTATCAATTCGACTATCTTAATCACTATCATTACTAGCTTTATCGTTGTACTATCCTTAATTTTATCATAAATAAATCAATCTATTAGTGGTGATCTGTTAATGCCAACCTGAGCCAATTAGTGGCAGCGCAGTGCGTATTATTACAATAATGAAAGTTTTGGTCACCTCACCTCAATGAATATAAAGATTTATGAGAATTACAACATAATTTATTTCCTTCAAGGCACATGTACATTCTTTTCTTCTCATATGCAGAACCTTCCAGTAATTTATTATGAAGTAACGACAAAAACTTCGATAAATCTGTTCTGGATAAACGAAGTCAAATAGATATTAACCACGAAAACCAGTGTTTTCATTGCAAACTCATTTTCAAACTGTTGAATAGTTTCGATTACCCCCTACATACTTGAATTCCTAAAGAAAAGGAACCGAACAATAACATGAAATAAATCAATGCTCACAATCAAAATCGACTTCAATGATCAAAAAATGACTTACCAACGAGGATTGCTAGTAGCACGCAAGAAAATATCGTAAACAAAGATTCAGCTCTCAATGATCGATTAATACGAAAAAATTACCCATGAAATTAACTGATGGTGAAACTAATACACCTTTGATCGTTAGCTACTAACATTTTTTGGTTTTTTTTTTTGTTTTCAACAAATTCTACTTACCATGCAAACATATAAATACGAATAGCAAATTGAATACAACGTCTCAACCAAATGACCCTAACAGATTTTGTTAAATCTTGCAATGATTTCATGCTATACTCAAATTGTTTCTATAGTAAACGAAGACATTACTACACAGTATAATCCCAGTAAGCTGGAAGAAAACGAAATCAACATTTTTGAGATGACGTATTTACAAAGCGGGAAAAATGTTTTTTTGCTCAAAAAATGATACACAGTTATTTAATTGCTTTCAGATGTTTTTGGAATAAAAATTCACCAACAGAAAAGATTTTGAGAGTTTTGAACAGCACACCTCCACTGAGCCGCAACTCTCATACGCGTATTGGTGAAATATTTGCAATATTATTTGACGCAGTATCAGGTGAAATTTGTGGGACTATTGTTGTGTAGAGCCATTTTTCATTGAGAACAATAATTATGCTCATGTCTATTAACGCTGATCACTTGTTGATGGGCGAAAAAAATTTTACGGTTATTTATTTGCACAAATATAACACAACATATATATTTAAGGCAAATACAAGCGAACCTGATCAGTAAAGTCTTAATAAAACCATTATACCTTTTTACTTCTAGCCAGCCAAAGAAAGGGTCAACTTTGGGTAAAAATCGCTCAGTTTGATAAATAATAGATACATTCGGATAGGAAAGGACATAAAAATGGGCATAGGGTCGTCAAAATAAAAACTGAATTCATGAAGATGAAAGATAGTAATTCAGTATGAGCATAACAGAGAAAACTCTCCACATGCGGCAGTGAATGATAATCGCTTAGCGGGAGCGTATCAATTGAAAAAAAAGTGGTTCGAAGCACCATCTAACTCGCTAGCGCAATTACAACAGTAAAGTAGCAATTACAGTAACAACATCAAATCCGATAGTTATGGTAATAGAATAATAATAACGACGATGATTATAATTATTAGTACAGTAATCATAAAAGTATATTGATGAAAAAGAGTATTGAAAATAAGACTAATAAAGAATTAATAAAGTACTCTAAGCGCCATAGGTGTAACAGATTTACAATTTGAGCGGAAGCTTATGCGGCACAACCTGCAACATACGGAAAAGTGAAAATAAAAATGCCTTTGCTGAACCGAATAACGTTATCTGTACACATGTTCAAGGAAACATTATTATTAATATGATTAAATGAAGAATATACTGCTTAAGATGCTGAAGAATATTTAAATGCTCGTTGCGCCGCATCTGTCACATTTAAAAGAAATGGATTTAAATGCACTAGTTTCTTATATTGATATAACTTTCAATCGCGTCGTGCCCATAATGGTGCATCAGATGTCCTCGATGTAGAAGAAGTTGTTGTCTTATAGCTCGTGTAAGGCGCCATTGGATCACTAGTTGAATGCCTTAGTTCGGATGGCTGACCATGCCAACTAACAGTTTTCGTCCAAACTTTCGCACCACCCGTTTCGGTTGGACTCATACCAGAAACAGACTCGGTAACATATGATGTTGATTGCTGACCGAGTTCCTCGAGTGAAATATTTAATGATTCCATCAAACGTTTTGCAGCATCTGAATCAACCATTTTCATATGCACTGCTCGAGGAATTGAATAGCGTCTTCCAGAGGACGGATGCACAATTTCACCAGTGACAACGTCGAGAAGGCCAGACTCAGCAGCCTCACGAACAGATACTCTTCTTGATGTGGCTGGATTTTCGATAATTTGCTCTTCTATATCAAATCGCTGCTTTGCCAAATTATCCAAAAATTCATGTTGAAGATCAGCCAAAGCCTGTGGATCATCAATGAGACTACGAGCTCTATCACCACCAGACATCGCTTCTGAACTTGAGCGCACTCTCACTGATAATCCCGGTTCAACCCTGTGAGGTGATGACAATCTTATAACAGTTGATTCCTCTCTAAATCTCGGACCACTTGTGCTACTGCGACGATCATCAACAGATCCGATTTTGAACTTATAGCCCTCTGCATCACGACGTTTGACTGCTTCAGTGACTGCTTGTGCAGCTTGCATAGGCGAAGCAATCAACGCAATTAAACCATTGGAAATGGCCTGCTTTAGAGTCAACTTTGTTCCAGTTTTCGCTTCAATATATTTACCATCTGCATCGATTCGCCCACGATTTATAGCTTCTTTCAATGTCATTGTTTGACTTGAGTCAATATCGTGGAAAAGTGAATCACCATCAATCACATCACGATCAACTGCTGCCCTGAACGTTAGGTAGAGGCCTGATTTCTTATCCCTGATACGACCCGAATTCTCATCAAATTCTTCAGAATATAGAACGTGCACCAAATTTCGCTCATCTGAACCTTCCATCGCTTCAACCTTACCTGTATCGATATATCCTTCCTCAATAGCCTGGCTGATTGACATCTGACGGCCCGAATCGGGATCAGTGAACCGGTTTTGAGCAACGTCAATGAGTCCCTTTCCAAGTGATTCAGCAAACGTTAGTTTATCTACTCGTTTCAATCGTTCACCAATCGATCGCGGAATTTTACCATCTGCGGTAGCACGTGCAACAGGAATGATGACATGTTCATCAAGTTGAATAGTTCGATTTCGTGGATCAACAAGTTTCGCTTGAACGGCTTCAATAAGATTCAACTTCCTCTTTGTTCGGAAGTCGACCAAAAATGGTTGTGTGAGAGCTTTGTAGGATTCTTCATCAATAAGACCTTTATTGGAAGCTTCATTTAATGGTATCTTTTCACCAGTAATGATGTTGGAGTACTGTGCACTTTTCGTATCAATTAATCCTTCAATTAGCGCACTGAGGACAGGGACGCCATAACCTTTTGTTGGATCGTAAACACCTTCCATTGTTAAACTTGCGTAAACAGGTTTTAAAATATCAAGCCAACTTAATTTCTCTTTAGTGAACGGATTCTGCACCTCACCTGTCTTTGGATTGATTATATCCAAATCGATTGCACGTTCAATAGATATCTTCTCCCCGTTTGCTGGATGGCATACACCTTTTGGTAGAATTTCAGATAGCGTTACATCAAGTAAGCCCATATTTGCAGCTTGAGCTAGAGGTAATGCCTCACCAGTTTTTGGATTAACATATGTCAGAGTAATAATGTCAATCAGTTTGGCACGAATAGCATCCTCTAGGCTGATTTTCTCACCATGCGAATCTAGCACACCTTTAGTTATTGCGTTCTGAATGTTCGACCTGAATACCGAATATGTTTTGGTCATTTGTTTTCCCTTTCGATCAACTCGTGCGATACCAATACGTTGAGCATCCTGCAGTGACATAATACGACCATTTCTCTTATCTCGAATTTTATCAATTCCAACAAATTCAGCGTGTGGTTCTAACTCAACTGACTGTACTTGTGCAGTACTCTTAACCATTGTTTTAGTTTCTGTCACATACGGATCACCATGTAACTGAATGGTGAATTTCATTCCCGATGATGGATCAACGTATTCACCCTTCTCAACACCACCTTCACCACGAACGACTTTTACCATGACTTGCTTACCGCCACCGAGATCAACCATTTCTTGCCGACCAACTCCCATTGTACGTTGTTCACGTAGTGCTACAGTAGTTTTAGGTTCTACAGGCTGTGAATACGGTGTGAGTTGAAGTTTCTGTTCAATCAGTTTAGGATGTGGTGATCGTTGTGCGGTACGAGGCGAACGAGAACCTGCACCAGCTATAATGCCAGTGGTAAGAGCTTGTGGGAAGCTCATTGATTTGGAAGTGTCTTTACCACGAATCACACCTCTCTCGAGATCAACGATTTTCTTATCGACTGCTGTGGACAGGGGCATCTCATCTCCAGTATCCAAATCGCGCACTACCATTGACTTACTATCAATCATCCTTTTAGATATCGCCTCATGCACCGGAACGTTACGGCCATCGTGCGCAGTGAACTGCCCTGTTGCAAAATCAAGTTTCCCCTTCACCAGAGCGCCTTCAAAGCTTTCTGGCAAGTTACCACTTTTAAGAAGACCGTCTCGCAATGCCGTTATAAGGTCGACGGTACGACCAGTTTCCGTATCAAGAACTGTTCCAGTGGAATCATTGACCAACCCATCTTGAATTGCTTCTAATAGAGACAACTCGCGTTTGTTGCGTTGATCAATGACAGTGGTGCCGTATGGATTGAACAAACCTCTGATGATAGCTTCTTTCAAGGTCATCTGTTTGTTTGTATCAGGATGTGTGAATGTTCCACTTTGTGGATCATACCATCCAGAATCTAACGCACTGGCAAGTGTCTGGTCCACAAAAGCAGACGGACCCACAGCTAGCGCCTCCTTCTTCGAAACTTCAGTACGTTTCTGAACCTTGACAGTAGTGTGGACAGCATCAGATGCATTTTCTGGTACACCACCAGTTGGGTAAATTCGATTTTGTTGGGCTGCTTCCGCGAGGGAATAACGCTTATTGTCACGTTTGTCGAAAAAGTAGTGGTTCTTCTGATCAATTATGCCCCACTTTTCAGCCTCTCCAAACGACATCTCGCGGCCTGTTAAAGCATCTCGCACACGAAGATCTTCAGGCAAGATTTTGCCAGCAGCCAGCGCCGCATCAAGTGGTAATCGACCACCACCAATATGATCAATGAGTTCACCTGTGGTAGCATCGAATGACCACGACTGCTCAGATTCTTCTACAGTAGCCGTACCAACTGGACGGAAACTCATTACTGCACCGTCCGCAGCAGAAAATTGGATCACCTTTTTGGCCGAACTTGCTGTCGTTGCCGGCGGTTCTCCACCTACAATGACAACTTTCTCTTCAATTGCCGTTTGGAGACTTATACGACGTCCATGTGACGTAATGAAGCCGTTCTTGTCCATAATTTTATTTTCAATTGCATCAATTACAGGTATTATTCTACCCGTATTTGGATCACGAACACTGATATTTTTACTGTTTATAACACCCAATTCAAATGCTTCTTCCAGTGATAGACAGCGATCTACGTTAGGCGGCGAAACAACACCTGTTGATAGGTTAATATAGCCTTTTCTTTCAGCCTCATGAATGTGGTAGCCATCGGCTGGTACTTCGATTGTACCTTTACCCCCCGTTATGGCGCGATAGACTGATACACCACCTGGCCCACCTACAGCCGTTGTTTCAGTTGTCCGAACTTTTTTAATAGTTGTGATAGATTCCTCGATATTTTTGTCGGGATAAAATTTCGGTGCTAATTGTTGACCAGTTTCCATTACTGTTTCACTTGTTTTCTCCTCAATCGTAGGTCCGACACCAGATGTTTTTGATGGAACGATCCATTCATCAGATGGATCTATTAATCCTTGATTTAGAGCATCTTCAAAACTCATTTCAGTTTCGCCTTGGCGAAAACGATGGGTTTTTGAATCGATGAGGCCTTGCTTCATTGCCTCAGCAAGAGTGACTTTGACCTGATCTGCTGCGACATCCATGCTCTGTCCAGGTCGACGAATTCGCTTCTTTTGATCGATTTTCTTCGTGGGTGACATCAACGATGGATGAATGTCGAAAAGTGCTGACAACTTGACAGCACCACGTAATGTTAGGTAACCTTCGTCGTATGCTTGTTTTGGAGTTAACTCCCTTTTAGTTCGTTTATCTAGGTAAACACCCTTCACTGGGTCGATTAAACCTTTTGCGACCGCACGAAAAACTGTCATTTCGTCACCCGATGAATCTTTGATTCCGATCGGTGAACTAAACAGTTCATGCAACATTGGATCGATCAAGTCCTTATCCGCACAATCAGCAAGGAGAAAACTTTCCTGAGTTGCCAGATCGACAATACGTTCTGCTTGCACAATTACAGCGCCTTTTTCAACGGCTTCGTTGAACGTGAGAATTTCTTTCGTTTTTGTATTCTTAATTCCCTTCACATCGAAAATCGTATGACGAACACGTTTTATCAAAAGACCTTCACTAATCGCTTCTGTAATCGTATAGGATTTTTGCTGTGCTGCAACGACAATCCTTCCGGTTGGTTCCAGAAGACCCCTTTCTAAAGCTTCAGCTATCGATATGACATCTTTCATTACCGGATCAACAATATGACGTACTTCGGCATCAATCAGTCCAGCAGCAATAGCTTCAAGGAGAGTGTAACGATGCTTTGTACCACCATCAATGAATTTATTTGTTGAATCGATCAACCCTTTAGCATCTATTTCAGTGAGTGTTAACGGCTTTTGAATGAGATCTTTATTGTACGCTTCCCACAGCGACATACTCTGACTTTGCTGCAAATCTGTGTAGTTCCCTTGACGAGTATTGATCGCATTTCGTACAATTGCGTCACCAAGTGTTATACGTCGACTTTCGTCAGTTCTTATAATTTCTGGGATGTGTAAGTTCAACAAACTATTCTGCTTTGATACCGCATCGCGTAGAGTTAATTTTTCACCACTGTTACGATCAAAGAATTCGCCAGTTTCCGTGTTGATGAGGCCCATCTGAATGCAATCAGTGAGAGTGATCGCAATCATTGCTATTGGTCGAGTACTTCCTATTTGAATATAACCGTTGTATAAGGCATCTTTCAAAGGCATTGTTTCACGAGTATATTTACCCGTGAACTGACCGGTCTCACGGTTTACAACACCTTGTTCAATTGCATTCTCGAGAGTCATTGGTGGTAGCTTTAATATGCCCATTTTTATAAGTCGATGTTGTGTATCTAAAGTGATTATTCCTCGTAAAATACAATCATACATTGGCAATATTTCACCCGTATTAATATCGCGCAATTGTCTAACATCTGGATCATAAAGACCAATTTGAATTGCTTCGAGAAGCGTGAGACTTTCATGGGTTGCTGGATGACGAATGCCATGATGCCGATTTAGTACCTCATTAAAACTGCCATCAATATATCCAAGTTCAGCAGCTTTCTCAAGACTTATTCGAGCACCCGAAACGATGTCAAAAAATTCACCACCGCTCGAATGCAGATCAAGCAAACCCTGCCTTACCGCTTCCACAAAAGTTAATATTTCACCGGTTTGTTTATGCAAAATACCTTCCATCTCATAAAATTGTGTTTTTGTTACAGTCTCTTCTTGATACATTTGCATTTCATCCTCATGCTCAGCTATAGTTGCTCGCGCAGGAGAGTCGCGAATTTCCTCAAATTCTTCTAGTACCATTCCTTCTGGAACGATTGTTTGTTGCATCCCATGTCGAACGTCAGGGATCTGCAAAAAATGTCGTTCAATGACCGAATCGTCACATATCATGCTGCACATCATCATCCTCCAGACTACCCAACAGCCTAGACTTCTTTCTATACATACATTTAGTTCTACTGCGCTTAAGAATGCGTGGATTTGTCAAAGTTTAACCGTTTTTAAAATTTTTTAATGCTCCTCTATGCGCTGGAAATGTAGTGAGTAAAGACTATCTGTAGGCGACATAAATTCAAAAATTTTCTGTTCATGATGGCAAATTCCAAGTAAAGAAGTGAAGCATTCTACTATCTCAAGAAAGACACACCCCAATTCTGTCTGGTAATAATCAAGTGATTACCAAATTCGGAGAGAGTGATTTTCATCTATAAAGCTTGCGACAAAACACCGATCTTTCAATTGATATTCTGTTGTTTGTATTTTGGAATGATTCTTAAAATCCTTCAAGTAGACGTGCTCCAAGGCATGTCAGAAAATTTACATACTTATGATCGCTCCAAAAATGCTATCTTGTCATTTTCTACCTCTAAACACTTCATCATCTGCATGCTGATTACTAATAACACTTCAATTCAACCACTTGCTGAGTCAAAAACAGATTTGTAGAAACATATTTCTGAGTTCACTGCAATGAAGAGGTGGTAAAATGCATATTTCTGAGTTCACTGCAATGGAGAGGTGATAAAATGCATCGCTATAAGCTTCAAAGAGATTTGCAGGTGTAGTAATTTCAGGTACGTACACAACAATATTCTCACACAGTGAAAAAAGCCGTGCTGTTGGGTTTTTTGTCTGTTGGATATGTGCTTGCACGTTCATGACTTATGGTTTCGAGTGGATGACGGTCTTGAAGGGCGACATTGCTCAGCTACAAACGATACGAATCGCAAATCGGTAATTATTATCAAACCAAGTGATAGTGCATAATTGTGGTAATATTCGTATTGTTCCTTCCACTGAAATAACTTCGCGCTACAAGACCTACCATACCAAGAAGAGTACGTAAGATAGGATATGGATGATGAGCTATTATGAAAAAGCATCATCAACTGTGCTTACTCTGCGACGTCTTCGCTCCTCTTCTTCTCGACGAAGACGTTCGGCTTCTTCAGCTTCTTTCCTGCGACGTGCTTCTTCTTCATCAGCTCTACGACGTGCTTCTTCTTCAGCACGTCGACGAGCTGCGTCCTCATCTGCACGTCGACGAGCTTCTTCTTCAGCTCGTCGCCTGCGTTCTCTTTCAGCATCTTCTTCAGATTTTTTCCTTCGACGTTCATCTTCGTCCCTCTTTCTGCGTTCCTCATCCTCTTTTCTACGTCGTTCTTCATCCTCTTTTCTCTTCCTTTCCCGTTCTCTTTCAGCATTTTCTAATTCCCTCCTTCTTTTTTCTTCCTCTTCTCTACGCAAGCGTTCGCGATTCTCATCGTCAAGTCGCTTCCTTCGTCGAGCTTCTTCCTCAGCTCTCCTCCTCGCTTCTTCTTCAGCTCTCCTTCTAGCTTCTTCTTCAACCCTTCTCCGAGCTTCTTCCTCAGCTCTCCTTCTCGCTTCTTCTTCAGCTCTACGTCTTGCCTCTCCGGCTGCTTCACGTGAACGTCTGAGACGTTCAGCCTCCTCAGCAGCACGTCGAGCTTCCTCGGCAGCTAATCTTTCTAAACGAAGTCTATCTGCATCCTCTAAGGCTTTCAATCGTGCCGCTTCAAATTGTCGCCGTTTTTCTTCTTCTTCTACACGACGACGATCCTCTTCATCCTGTAAATTTAACAGGAAGCGTCCAGTGCTTTTCACAGTGCTTCTTTTGTAAACTTCATTCATAGTGGTACAAAACAATCATTACACACGTGGAAGCAGCCCAAGTATGTCATCCGCGTCATGATACAATACTCTTTGCTGAATAATCTAAAACCAACCGATCTAAACGTTTCGTGAGGAAGCAGAAAAGCATGAAAAACCAACACGTGAACAATGCACGGCAATAAGCAAGCTGTAATCAACTGAGCGATAATTCACTGCAATAATAATAATAACAACAGCAATAATACTAATCGCATCGAGTGCATTCTTTTTTTGAATCGTTCTCAACTGCCGTTCAGCGACTACCAGCTGAAAAAATCTGCTGATTCATTTCTCGAGCCAAACAAGACGTCATCTATACATCCATTTCAGATAATTGATTAGTAGTCCAGTACAACAGAGTACGATTAAGGAACGATGATCACGTTTACCATCTATCAATCCATATAAATGTTCCTTCAGAATATCCATAGTAATTCGTCGCTACATGAATTACTGAAAATGCTGAAGCCATGCCATGCAAAAAGCACGCAAGCAAGCATGAAAGCAAACGTACGGGAGTGTTTTGGTTACAGACGAATCAATGTTAATATAGCAGAAGCATCGGACAGCCAGTAGAAAAATTGTTGAGATGCATAAAATTATTGTTCATCTGAGCAGAGATGTTGCTGAATTTAAAATGAACGAATAGTGGTGAGGCTCACTTGAGCGAAAAAGCCTCTCAGAAACGAAATCAGGAAACGAAAAATGAAGATTAAAAACCAAATAAAACGAACTGGCATCAAACATTCATCTTAGAAAACCATTATTGAATCCCAAAAAAAGTATACAAAAAAAAGCAAATTGCAGTTGTGTTAATGATTATAATATCGGTTGGTTTCGACGGAACAGCCGAAGAGCTCATTTAACATTGCACCACCAACGCGATTGGCATTCTCGACTCGATCCTTTTTTTTCAGTATCAATTTCATCAATGCATTCAATTCATTTCATTATTTGTATCTTCTTGAGTGCAAAGGTAGGTTTCTAATGTCAGTTATCCTCATGAAAAGAGATCCGGGATCTAGGGTCAAATAAATTATGGATGAACGAACTGTAAGCAATTAATAAGCTCATATAATACGCTTTTCACAACTCATTTTCATAACTGAGTTCAAAAAATTACTTCAACTAGCTAGGCTGTATTTTTCATCATAAACCTTGTCTCCATTTCTTTTTTTTTTGACAGAATTATCGACGAGATTGAATCAATATTATGTGCGGGGCCGAACGAAGTACGACAATTCGAAACATTTCAAACTAAATGTAAATTATTCAAAATAACGTAATATCATAATGGAATTTGATAGGTTCGACTAGAGTGCGTAAATAACACCTGAAACTCATACATCGGACTCTCAACTACTGATAAAAATTTGAATACCTGTTTTTGACGTTTCCAATTCTGGATAAACACTTGCATAACATTGCGTTTTTCGAGAATCAAAGAACTGAGTTGTGCGAACCGCCTATTGAGACATTCCAGCTCTTCAGTCACTTGCTGCGCACCATTTTTGGGCTGTAGTTCCGCACGACGAAATTCGCTGCGAATTTTTGGTCCATGTATGTTGATCACAGTATCGTTATATTGTTGCAACCTACTATCGTAGCCCTATAATATATGGAACAATAACACACAACGGCGACTTAACGAAATTAATTTATGAACAGCCAAAATTAATCAGTCATAAATATCAACAGATGAGTGTTTGAAGGTAACTTAGCAACCTTAGCTTCACGAATGAACTTTCCACCTTCTCTGTTCACATTCTCAATAGCCTCAGTGCGCTCTTGTAGCTGAGCATATTCAGTGATTAACAAATCCAACTGTGCTTGATACTGTTCTGGTCGCATATCTTCTGGTCGACGCAAGCTAAAATCGATGCACATATCTTGAGATACAACTCGATTATGGACACTTTATAGGTGAACCATAAAATATCTAATACTGTTCATAAGTCGACGTAACGTAGACTGAAATCTAAATATTTTTTTTAGTAACAAGGGATATTTTATCTAACATAAAACGTACTTCTGAACTTAACGCCAATTGATATTTCACATATAATTTTCAGTCCAATACAAATGTAAATTTGAGAACAAATTCTTATTCCTATCATCTTCTAAAATCAACAGTTGTTCTCCTGCTTCGTTGATGATAAATTTTCACACCAGTGCTCATATATATCATAATGCAGTTTTCATGCTGGCTGCATATTTAAGGAAAAAATAAGCATACGCTTACGACAAGAATACGCTTACGATGAACAGTTTCTACTTCTGTTTAGAAATTACAAATCAGTATCATTCAATACTTCATTGTGGATGATACGATCAATTAGATCAGTGATCACTCACCTATTGATTGTTGCTTCAACACGATCTAACCAAGAAATTTCGTTATCATATTCGGAACGGTAAACCATTTGTGTTTGTAAAGCACGTTCAGCACTTTTCAGTCTATCAGATACTTGTGAGCAAACATTCTCCCAACGGACCGTTAACATTTGTATTTCATCTTCTAATCTGTCCACGTCCGGATGACTAAATTCATATGAATCACAGAAATTCTATTTAAAGAATATGTATAAGAATTACAGAATTTGCTTTTGGTCAAAAAAAAANAAAAAAAAACAAAATCATAGTTGACTATGAAATCAGATATGAATAAAGTAATCATTTGAAATATAACTAACGCTGAGCTTTGTCGCGTACGAGAAATATGTTGTCTTAAGAGAGCAATATTACGATTCAATGAATCAATGACACTTTGTTGTTGTTGTAGAACCATATTCATCTCAAGTAACTGTGAATGTACTCCACGTAGTCTATCGAGTGCAGCTGGCATATCGTCGAATGAATTCAGCGTTATTTCATGTTGTCGCACAATATCTGACACCTGACAATGACATCTTAATTACTAAATTTGCACTAGAGGCGTATAAAATTGTGCATGAGCGAAACGAAACAATCAAGAATGTACAATAAGTAACTGAAAGACGCTAGGATCATTCATCATTTGAACCGCTTCTAGCTGACCAAAGGGACTGTTGTAACAACTTCATAAAACTGATCAGTTACAAATAATCGATCATGAAAATGACAGACCTCTGAAATACCATGCAAAACACCCTCAAGTGCTTTCAATCGCTCTACATACATTCGCGACAATTCCCAAAGATCTTCCCAACGATTACTCAAATGATCGTTATTGGCACGTTGAGATGGTGTTGGATTCGGAATTTGTCGGAACAACTCTTTCACAGTCGATACATCAACGTCAAGTGCTTGAAGCGCTTCTTCAAAATTTTTGTGCTCATGAATTAATCGTTCCAATTCCTCTGATGAGCGAGGTACTCCCTGAAAGAAAGAACAGCACTTGTTGACCATTTCATATCTTGGCATTTCGCAATTGATTACTTCATTTTCACCTCACTACAGTAAGACCCATTGAAAAATATTGATATTGATTGAAATAACCGAATTTAATGATTTTTTCCTTTCATTTCCGTTCGCTTAACTTTTGGTACATCATGACTAAGAAAATAGAGCATTTGACGCTGAATAAAAAAAAAGAACCTGAGCGACTCGATCATTGAGTTTACGATAAGCCTCTTCCAATTTCTCAAGTAATTCTGCAATCTTGGAGTCAAACTGACTTCCAATGTCTGGTTCTGAAATTGTGCTATACAGTAAACCGAAAATAACTGACACCGATGTGCACAGACACGTCCCGCCGCAATTACAAATTTAATTTGAAGTACCATTTGCAACAGTTTCGTTATTGAATGAAATGAACGCATTATGCACCAGTTGAAAAACAGTTCATATCCGAATACATTTTTGAAATGTGTACCTTTTGGACGCATTGACTGATTCAGAAGATTATAGAAATGTTCATTCGTCAAACGTAGTTCATCTTTCAAACGTAATGCTAGTGGATCATCTGGATCTAATTCGGTCAACAACTTATTTGCATCATCATTCAGTGCCTTTATGATTGCATCACGTTGTTCCGGATCAATTGAATTGAACGTATCCAAATCCCATCCTCTGAAGCACATCAAACTAATTGATAAAATAGTATTGGTAAATAAACTGTTATTGCTTGTACTATCAATACCGTTTCGATAGAAATATCATCATACTGCCACCATCATTATCACTATACAATAGTAGCAGTAGCACTATTACCAGTATGAACATAAGGGGAACAAATCAAATCCACGTTAAATTCTGTTTTTGATTTACGCAAAGAAAAAATATTTTTGCTGAATCCGAAAACATCAACAACTCTGGTTGATAATATACATAGGTTGTTGACAAATGAAAATGATTGTCGATAGATCCTGTTCGGTTATAAATGTATGCTATTATGCATGTAAATATTTAGTACTACGTTCTGTTAATGTAAATCTTTTCAGATCTACTTTTTGGCTGACTTGGAACTTTTGCCTTAAAAGCAAATAATAAATAAATGAATTTGAAGCGAAAAAATGAAAACTATTCTTTGAAAATGAAGCAATTTATTGTGCCCTTTCAAGAAAAGCGGAACAATCATACGTTACATTAGAAATGTCTATTCAACAAAAAGAAAACGTAATATCTCTTCGTTTCTAAAATTGTTTTGTAGTTCAATCACAATTGTAACTGAGTGCTACAATTCATTGCGAAACATTCACAACCCGCTTTCGCATTGGACAATAACGAATATGACTCAACATCGATTGCAAAGAATCATAATTCAAAAATTCGTAGTGATAGAACAAATAAAGAAATAATGAAAACAAACTAAAATTAACGAACCGTATTTGAGCCATGGTGTTAAGTATCATATTGAATCGTACCATACAATGTTTCTTCTCCCATAATCGACGTAACTTCTCAAAACTGGAATGTAGACGATTCAAGTAGGCCGTTAAACGAGCATCTGGTGGCGGTATACGGAATACAACTGATGGTACAGTCGCTTCAGTCCCATCTGGACTACGCACTACCCAATGAATCAGATCCGAATTGTCTATTAACATGCATTCATCACCTAAAATATCAATATTCATTAATATCATTACAATTACAACGATACTATTCTTATTAGCTATAATATATAACGAATACCTTCTCTGATTGCGATATTCCGTTCGACGTAATCACAAAGAGCGATAACCGGAATAGGTCTTTGAATGCGTTCACCACGCTGCCATAATGGCGATATTTGCGTCGTTCTTTCAGTGAGTGTCATTAAGATTCGATGGTATTTTTTGATAAGTTCATTGATTTCATCTAACTCATGCAATAACTGTTCACCCTCTTCCAGTGAAAACTCATTACGATTATACTTCTTTTCCAATAATTCTGTTTGTCTTATCATCCATTCTTCCGCAGCTGATGCGTCTTCCATAAACTGCAGCAGAACGATATTAAATAACAACACTTCAAAATAAACCTTATCATCCGTTTAGGCTATATAATCAGTCATGCACCACAACAGTGACATAATTATTACTTCCAATGATTCCAAATTCATTGGAACTGCATTCACCTATTACTAAAGGGCATGGAAACAAGCAAAATAGAATGATCGAAGGCTTCATAAACTGTCAACATATATACTCAGTATTATGCTGAATAACAATAATTGTCATTATTAATATCCATGCCACTATAATTGCAATCATCGCGCAAATATTCGTTTGATCATCGTGCGACTTAAAGCGCACTGGATTCTGAGTAAACCGAAATTCGTCCATCTAATTTCGACTCCTATCATTGAATCTTGAATGTCTTTATTGAACTACGAAACTACTGATAAATTTTAGGAGACTGATTATAAGGTATGACACTACGGGACGTTTGTGATAGCGAAGGACTGGAGAAGAATGAATTGTAGATACCGATTTGAGATTGATAGCATCACGAAGATGCTGCTCGAGACACTTGGATAAGGCTAAGAGCCAATCCCATTTATGCTGCATTGCATTCAAATAAAATTCAATCACATGTACAGCCGGATGACCTTGATTCAGCAACGCAGCACCTTTATTGTGTACATCGTTGAAACGTGGCTCACGTAATTCAATTTCATGTAATAACTGAAATTATTAATTATCATTAATAATATAAACAGATTTGAAATCTTTCATACAGACATTCCAATCTTATTCAGTTTTCAGATGAATAATGAGATCTATTTCATTCACAAACTTCGGAACGTTACTTTTTCCTCATACTCAATGAGGCAATAGAACAGAATAACCGTCGAAACTAATAGAAGCATTAATTTAAACCACTTCCAATCCTTACTCCGGTGCATTTATGTAATCCATCACGTATCAAAAACTATCCTCCAAGTTTTTAATCCTATTAATCATATTAATTCATTTGCACACATGCTCTTTTTCATTTGCACACATACGGTCGATCTCAATTAAGAACCTGTGATCATATCCTTTGAACAGTCCCTATATACAACATTGGTCTGCTCGCCGAGTGGCGTCAATAACGGCTAAAACAGTGCGGACGAAAATACGAGCACTGTAGCCAGCAACGTTACAAACGTTTGATAGGCTGACCAATGCAGGCAATCCAGGTAATATACAACATGCTCACTATCGTTTCATTGAGAACAACATTCTCATGAGTTCATTTATATTTCAGACAAACATTAATAATACTGTTACTGTTAGTTTGTTGCTGCATTTCAAATGTGCTCCTTTTCAACACACATACACACAATTTTGGTTTACATTAATACACAATCCTTCCAAAAAGAAATTGATGGATTGGAAAAATCGAGATGCAACAATTTGAAGAAAAAGCTTCCCATCTTTTTTTCATAGTCAGATGGTGTTTGCAGTTATAAAACATTTTGAATAAAGGAAAATTTTCGTTGGCATTCACAGTTGAGAAGTCACCATTTTTTTAAAAAGAATGCCACAATCCAGTATTACCAATACGTTAAACAATGACTTCAAAATTTTTTCTTCGGTTTTTTTCCAAAATTATACGACAAGATCAAACAAGTATTTTTTGAATGATGAATTCAACTGAAAACAACACATTTGAGAAAGATTGAATAATGATGATTTTTATAAAATAAAGGAAGTGATTTTACTTGTTTATAATAATTTTGGAGCATTGGTAAGTCCAACTGATTAATATCACTCCAACAACGTGTCACTTCAATATCTTCACGCTCATTTATCCAAACAATCTCTTGTTGTGCACCACGAACAAACGCTATCAATGTGTCCAAATCAAGCATACGTCCAGCTGATAAATCTCTCAATTGTTGATATTCACTTTCCAGTGTACTCAACAATTCACAATATTCGTGCGTATCTTCGGTCGATACTTCAGCCTGTAAAGTTATCAATTATTATCGTTATTGTCTTTATCTGCTCCGTCAATTCGTTGCCCTTTGTGTTTCCTCATATGGTAAACGCATGCATTGTTAGTAATTCTATGACATTACAACAAAAAATAACTGTATCGTCTGCTTAATTACTGCTCTTGCAATTATTATTATTATCATTACCATTGTCATTACCACAGAACTCAAAGGCATCTATTTCCATGACAGAACCTCGTGAAAGTATCACTTTTACAATTATAAAATACGATATTATAGGCTCGTCACTACCATTCCCGAATATCTTATAAATCACATGCATTCATCATCATCTTTTAATCATCTACTGGGTTGAAGTCAAGGCCATATCTATGTGCAACATATGATCATATCGGTTAATAACATGCCGACCATTTAAAGTTACGTAGAATACACTCTTCATATAATTTCTCTACTGTAAACATACACTCATATTCCCTTAGTTTATGACTAAATCGTTCAGGACATCTCACTGATGATTGCATTACAATAAACAATTCATTTCCTTTATACACTACAACCAATGTTATTTGATGACGTTCTCAATGACGCTAGAATTGAACCGTTTAAAAATTTCATCACTCGAGTATTTTATTTCCCTAAACCATTTCGTTGCACGCTAAACCTTGAGCTTAGTTTCGATCGAATATTTGACCGTGATCAATGAACTATCCAACAGATTGAACGGATCAGAGCACGTATCAAAACTCTGATAAATATGATGAAATCTGATAAATCACCTGACGAGCAATACATTCATCAACATTTTGTCTGAAATCTTGAATGTCATGATTATCGAGTTTATGCTCTTCGAACATACTTTCCAGCTGTTCCAAATCTTCAACAAATTCCATTTCAGTGAGTTTTTCCTGAAAAACAAACAAACACTGAATAAACTATAATCAAATGTTCATGTTTGCGACAATTTCATGAGACAACAAATCTGGTTCTTAAATACAGATGAAACGATAGAATAAATGAGTTGAATCCACATCCACAATCATCATTATTAAATAATGTGAGCTTTATTTTGATGACGCTGTTATTTATTGTGATTGAGGCTCTAACGATATTACATAAAAATGCATTTATCGAATAAAATAGTTTTGTATTAAAAGGCTATTAAAGGCTCAATTAAATGGTAGTCTGAAATGAGAATTAATTTAATTGCACATGCAATGAGACTAATTTGTTGCATCTTTTACTCAACACGACCGTATCTAATACTTTTCCCTATAGAATCTTTCTTTGCTTGTTACAAGTTATTGCAAGGAGCATCGTTTCTATATCAGCAAAAAACCCCATATCCACATGAATGAATAAACGGGTACACTCCCACTTACACACAAAATGGAGCACAATGCCATAAATTCTTTCTCATCGCTATACGTTTACAAATAGCATTCACATTTTGCATCAACCTCCAACAAAAAAAGTGTTGGCACAGAGGAAAAGAAACAATTTAAAATGATGGCTGAAAAGAACTTACCAAACGAAGACGAACCCATTGAATACATTCATCAACACGTCCGAACGTTGAACGACGAATCGACTCGTTTCGCTGTTGAGACTCGCGAATGAGCGTTTCAGATCGCACACCCAAACGTGTGATGAACTGAGTTCGTAGTCGACTCATATATGATTGTCTTCTTTGTTCCAAACCATAAACCCTGAATTAATATTTGTCACCAAATGATCTGCCACCAAAAGAAATCACATACGATAGTCACTTGGAAGTGGCATTGGATCAATTAGAAGTATGTGCTTTACAAACGTATGAACGACGTTCATATAACTATATGAAAAGGAGATAAATTCGAATTTGAAGAAAATATAATACTGTTGATGGAATTCATTAGCATCAGGATGCCGGTTCTGTTTCAATTGATCAACGTCCTCGAAGAAACCGAGGATTGGAGTTTCGAGTGTTATTAGTTCATCAACGATTGTATCAATGATTCGTTGCAAGTCTGCTGGTCGTGAAGTATCGACTGATAGAAAAAAAAGAGAATTAGAGCCGACTTCAAGATATTCATTTCATTACTCAGTGATCGTACATAAAACATTCCATATTTGCTTTTATATCAAACCTCCACAGACAAATTTTTGGATTCAACAGAAGCAAATTATTCAAACCAATTGAATGACTGAATACTAGAAAAATTTTAAAATTTAATTGCAAGATCAACTGAATAAATGGTGCACAAAATAATCCTCTTTAAATACTACAAATGGTGTTTAGATCAACAAGTAACGGTAGATTACAACAGAATAAATACATCATACTTCTTGCTTCAACATCTTCGATTCTCTCCAAAATATGATCCAGCTTTTCGTTCGTTATACCAATACCTCTTGTAAGGCGACTGATAATATCTGTCATTGAACCCTGGAAAAGCATACAACATTTTAAGCGCGAAGCAACATGGAAATTCATTCCTTCATAAATTTATCATAAACTTTACCTTCCTTGTGATATTACTCATGTTAATATTTAATAGAAATGTGATAGAGCAGATTGTGCATTTTTTTGATGTCTACATTATTTTGAAGTGCTCATTTTTATTGCTCTCTATCATCGTTCTCATTGCTGCTTTACTGCACTTTATTATATATATATATATATATATA